AAATTGATCTGTTATTATTTTAGATATGTAAGAAAAACCAATGTGTTAAATACTTTTGCTACCCACTGTATGTGGCAGTGGTTGGTTGGTCGGTTGCTCAGTTGGTTGGTTTGTTTAATGCTGCATCAACTCCTTATAGGTCATTTAATGCCGAAGTTTAGTTTTCTTGTGAACTTTGGAGTAATAAAAATATGTGTTAATCTGCTTTCATAATTGAATATATGGTAAATGATACTAAGATTTTGTGCATATACATGTTTGTATAGATATGATTACTGGAGGCAGTGTAATGTGTGTTTTATGTTGTAGTTTTGTTGAAGTTATATTTTGGAATACAATTTGAAATTAAGAAATTGTGGGAGATTACATGGATTAATGTAGTGACAGTTCATTCATGTTAGTTGGTTGATTTTGCTTAGCATATCTACTTCTTTGGATTATTTAATGCTGAAATCTAAATATTTTAAACACAATTTTATGACTTCAATTAGATATATTTTGACCACAATTGTATTTCAACTACAGATAAAATGTATTGCAGGTTATTTTACTATATGTATTGTTGGTCTTTTTTATATAAAAATATATTGCTAGTATTAAAATATCTTTTTTTATATAAAAATATATTGCTAGTATTAAAATATATATTTACAATTAAAATATATTTTTATACTTTCATAGTGTTTTTGTTTTGGTGTTCTCTATTTTCCCATACATGGGACCCCTGGGTTATGGGGAACCTGGGAACATCAGCAATTAACAGGTGGTTCCACGCTTCTCAAAACATTCAATCTCCCAATCTGAGGCCTGCTGCCAGATGTAATTTATCATCATACCTAGGACTTTATCAGGTAGTGAATGTGAGACAAACTCCTAACAAAAGTGTTGTTTTGAGTTGGTCTTGTATCTTTGAAGAGGACAACCCTGTAGTTTTTTCCCTGAAATGAGCTCACTGAATAAGACTTGATGTGAAAACCTTGACTCTTCCATTCTTGCTACATGTCCTGATTATTGAAGACGGAGTTTAATGATCAGTGATTTGATACTTTGACTGTTGGCTCATTCTAGGACATTTGTGTTGATCACATAGTAATTCCTGTTGATGTTCAAGGTTAAACAAAGCTTTTGTTAGTGTAAATATCTAATTTTTGGATATCACAATGATATAGAGTCCAGGTTTTGAAACCATATAGCAAAGTTGAAATGACAACAATATTATTAAGGAATCAGCACATGCGAGGCTACAAAAATCTCCTGAGCTAACCAAGCATAGAAATGAATACAATATGGGAACCAGTAATAAGGAGTGCCAGAGAAAAGCAATGAATAACAACAAAAAATTGCAATATAAGCTTTGGTAAAAAATGCAATAATAACAGAAAAATTGCAGTGGTAAAAATGGTTGCTGTGACATTAGGTTTATAAGTCCCAAAAATTCATACACAGATGTCCTTAAGGACACATGGCCCAGTGGTTAAAGATGTTGGCTAGATCCAGTGACTAGTTGTTCAATACCAGCCACAGCTGTGGTGAGCCAAACTTGGAGAATTGAGTTAAAGGGAAATAACTGATGCATGGCACATTGAACTAGAACAATCTACCTTGGTGGATGAAATAAAGGGTTTGGTTTGAAATTCCAATCACCTGTAGAAGGTCTGAGTGTACAATGTCGAAACCTTTGTGAATATGGCAATGAACAGTTTGAATAATGTAAAGAATGTAAGTAAGCATTATAGACCACAATTTTTGTTATTAAATTCAAATCTTTGTTATTGAAGACGCATTTGATTAGCTTTCTAAATGTCTTGTATGCAGTTCCAATTCTGTGTTTCACATCCTTTTCTGAGGTGAACTTGTTTGATAAAAGGCTGCCTAGATATGGAAAATGCTCTACTTGTTCTAAAGGTGTATCACAGATGGTAATATCAAAATCAAGTAAGATGGTATTTGATTTACATTGGAGTGAGTCCATTGTAATTTGAGGTAACAAAAGTTTGTTCTTAAGTCTGATCTTGGTAGCAGTTGGTAGCAAGTTTGTTTCATTTTGGTAGTGGGTAGTTTCAAAGTCAGAACTTGGTAGAAGTAGTCATCTTAGAAATAGGTCAGTGTCAATCTACTGTGTTTTTCTTTGGCCTAAGAAGGGCAGAAAATACAATTAACAGATGATCTCTAAACTACGTCACACATGGTTGGTTTCTCTGGCAGTATTTTCTCTTGTTCTGGTTTGTCTTGTGGTCCCTTCTACTTGTCTAGCCTAGGGCTGTCAGTTTATATCCTTTTGATAAGGCTACCAAACTACTGACATGAACTTTGGTTTCAGTTAGTATCAAAAGTCTCTTTGTGCTAATTTTTTTGATTAGCCAAAATTATTTTAGTTTCCAGCATTCCTTTCTTTTTTATTTTTTTTTATATAGCAGAAATTATGTGTGAAGCCTTTTAGTGGGTTATCAGTTATAGTGAAGTGCATGAGTGTTGAAACAGATTAGTTTGATTTGGCCTTGTTAGTTAGATAGCCCACTATAAGAGGGGTATAAAACAAGAAAATCAAATTGTAAAGTGAAACAACAAATTTATATACATATAAATCAATTAAAGTCTTTACAAATAAAATTAATATATTGTGGTTGATACAAGGTCATCAAAATGTTTGTAGTAGCACTTGCAAGAAAGAGTTTATGAGTACGTAGGCAGGAATGTATGTGTGGATGTATGTATGTATGTATGTATGAGTGTTATCATAGTGTAAGAATGTCTTTGAAGTAATTGCTCAGTCTTAAAATGTTCCATTTCTTTATCAAGTATAAAAGAGGTGAGGGAGAATGGTAGAGATAATAATAATGATCACTTGACATTTGTCAAGGGCCTAGTTGATATGCTTGTCTCCTTCTCTCTGGTGACAGGCGAACTTTCCCATCTTTTATTTTGTTTGTGGGGCTTGAAAAGGTCATTTGGGAATTCACTCCTGGATATGATTCAGGCCTTTCCATTGGACAATGAACAAACTTCGCATTGGCTCGCGAAAAGGTTTGAAAAAGAATTTGTTTCTGAGAATTGAAGATTATTTGAATTTTGTTTTTAAATGTTTCCTAGGTTTCTATTGGCCAAAAAACGTTTCGCATCATGGTGTGAAATTTCACAAGTTTTGTTTTGGATTCGCTTTTGCGTATGTGTTAAGCAAAGTTTGTAAATTCAAGTCTTTTTAATTTCTAACAAAATCAATGAGTCAGTGCTTAGCATTTGAATTTTTCAATCTAGATCTTGTTTTGTTTACTACAGCCTTTCTGAATTTTGGTAGATTTTAGTCACAAATAGCTAGACTCTGGTCCAGCAAACTTTCACCATTTTGTGGCCTAGTTCAGTCTTTTCTCCTTCTTCCTCTTTTTTAATGAGGGTTGCCTTCTTGCTAGTTAAGAGAGAAGTATATATAGAGAGAGAAAGAGAGAGCGAGAGAGAAGTATACAGAGAGGAGAGAAGTATATAGAGAAAAGGATAGAAGGAGAAAGAAGTATATAGAGATAAGAATAGAGAGAGAGAAGTATATAGAGAGAAGGGGAGAGAGAAGGATAGAGAGAGAGAAAGAGAAGTATATAGAGAGAAGGATAGAGAGAGAGAAAGAGAGAAGGATAGAGAGAGAGAAAGAGAAGTATATAGAGAGAAGGATAGAGAGAGAAAGAGAGGAGGATAGAGAGTGAGAAAGAGAAATAAATAGAGAGAAGGATAGAAGGAGAAAGAAGTATATAGTGATAAGAATCGAGAGAGAGAAAGAGAGAGAGAGAAGTATATAAAGAGAAGGAGAGAGAGAGAAGTATATAGAGATAAGGATAGAAAGAAGTATATAGTGATAAGGATAGAGAGAGAAAAAGAGAAAAGTATATAGAGAGAAGGATAGAGAGAGAAAGAGAGAGAGAGAAGTGTACAGAGAGGAGAGAGAGAAGTACGGCGAGAGAAGGATAGAAGGTGAAAGAAGTATATAGAGATAAGAATAGAGAGAGAGAAGTATATAGAGTGAAGGGGACAGAGAGAAGTATATAGAGAAAAGGATAGAGAGAGAGAAAGAGAGAAGTATATATAGAGAGAGAAAGAGAGTGGAAGAGGGTTTTAATAGAAATCGAATGCCTTATTTTAATTCTTTTTATATTTTTGTTTATATATTGTTTTCATATTTTTTTTCTTGGGATTTATGACAATGTCACTTGTTCAGTGGAAGAAACAGACAAGAGACACAAAAGTAAATAAAACTGGTAAGTACTAACTGATACAAAATATCTCCTAAGCAAGGACTATAGCCATCGTTGAAGCACCACCAACATATCAGGCCCAGCATTTGTTTAAAATGACCATCCATCCTTTCAAAAACTCAGAAACATACTTTTCTCAAATGGATTGAGAGAGCAATATAACACCAGCTTTTTCTCAGTTATGAGAAGCACTCTCACTGTATGGACAACCAGACAGGATAAACACAGTTACTGGGAGTGAAAAAGAATGAGAAAGGAACCGGAAACCTAATCCTAAGCAGGGATAGACCTCTACTCCTGTTCGAAAGACCAGGGCTGAAACTAATTCTGTGATTGTCTTCCGAATATTATCAAAGATGGTTTTTATTTGTAAGTATTTTTTCTTTTGAAATTGAAAATGTTATGGAATTTTATCAAATTTCATAAAATCTGAAGCGAATATTAAAAAATAAAGCCTGAGATTTTCTTCCTTTTTGCATACATGCTGAAAAAGCTTAACAAAAAATTTTGTATCAACAATTTTATTTTGTTAAGTGAATAAAGAGTTCTCCGAAGAAAACTTTTGCTTTATATTAATTGTCATAATTTAACAAATCCAAAGTTTTTTCTTTTGATTTGAAGTCATAATATTCCGGTTAAGCTTAAACAAATTTGACTATTTGAGTCGAGAAGGTTTAGAGTTGCTTCCCTTGACTATTCGCTCTTTTGTCAAAACTTTCCAACGCACATGTTCATTAAAACGAGAGACGTTAAAGCATCATCATGGTAAGTAAAGAAAAAAGAATTTTTAGTTGATTTAATGAATCGAAAGGATAGTTTTTAAGTGTTACAAATTTAGAAGTGGCTTCCCTAAGTAATGTTGTTAAATTAAGTACAGTTGTTATTTTTACTATTACGTTTTTATTACGCTTCCTCTTTTTTTTTTTTTTAACTTCTTAAATCGAGTGCTTCTCCACCTTAGAACTTGGTGTAAAATAAACAATTTTTTGTGTTTTTTAAATAACGCATAAAATAATTTAAAAGAATCGGAATAAACGTTAATTTTGTTTATCAGATTGTTATTCTGTGAAATATTTTCATTTGGAAACCTCATGACTGGACTAATATTATCGAACATACTTTTTCTATCAAAAATCAAAATTGAATCCCAAATGATTAATTTAAGAAAATTTAGCAATAAATAGATAAATATTTTAAGGCGGCAGGTTTATGATACGAAATATCCCCCTTTTCTGAATATATGAAATAAAAAAAAAATCGTAGTTAAATTCAAATCCCGGTCCAAGGTGTTGGGTTCGTTAACAACTTCGCGCTACTAATGCCTTTTTAAATGTGTGGAAATGAAATCCATCTCTTAACTAGGGATAAATAGTAGGTAACAAACAATTTAGTAGTGGAATTTTTACAGGGGTACACAATTTTAGAGCAATAAAAGAAGACCTATTTAAAAAACGAAAAAAAAAATGGGTTAAAATACGAAAAATATTATTCAATTACTGTAAAAATGGTAATATAACGAAATAACCACGATTAAAAACGGCTAAAAACCGGTTTATCATCGGCCCTCTCTCATCAGAGCAAAAATAGAGGATATAAGAAAACCCGTGCGCAACGTTGTTAATGTTATATTTGGTTCTTGGGTAAGTTGTATTTTTGATCGTCTCTGTCCTAGGGACGTGGCCATAGCATCTTAAGAAGGTAATATTTGTTGTTATCCCTCTTTTTAGTCTTTTTTATTGTTTGTTATGAATTTTCATTTTTATTATGAATTGCTTTTTAGGGTTTTTTTTTTTTCACTATGTCTGCTTTTATTTCTCTAATTCTAATACACAGTGTTTCTCAACCGGTTTTCCACGGAACCATAGAGTTCTGCAAGTGGTCACTAGGGGTTACACGAAAAATGGTGATAAATAGGCTCGTGTATTTTTATTTATTTATTTTTTTTATTAGTAATTTTTGTTTAATTTTATATTCTTAATTTTACTACGAACGGCATATTGTTGGGAAATCCTTGATTATTAAAATATGTGTCCCTAACCAACAACTCGCAAACCACCCGGTCGTCTACAGGACTATTCAAGATTCAAAACACTAGAGAAGGCCATAGGGGAAACCATTCCAAAAAGTCATGGTAATTCATAAATATGAAAGAAAAGGAAACTGTGGAGAGCTATGAACACCAACATCCTGAAAAAACATGTCATTAATTAAAGCAGTCTATAATAAAGTTAAAAATTCCCAAGATTTCAGTATATAAACATCCACAAATACACATACATGCAACTTATTTTTTGTTTTTGATCTGATAAAGCCTAAATGGCGAAATGCATAATTAGATATACAGTTTAACCCGGATATAAGAGAGTTGTCGGGACCGGAGAAGAAGTCTCTTATATCCGGGTTTGGTCTATTTTGTTTAGGTAAGTATGGGCTCTAATTTGGGACCAGAGAAAATCTCTCTAATATCCAGGTTTCTCTTATATCCGGGTTTGGTCTATTTTATATACATTAACACAGGCTCTAATTTGGGACCAGAGAAAATCTCTCTTATATCCGGGTTTGGTCTATTTTATATACATTAACACAGGCTCTAATTTGGGACCGGAGAAAATCTCTCTTATATCCGGGTTTGGTCTATTTTATATACATTAACACAGGCTCTTATTTGGGACCAGAGAAAATCTCTCTTATATCCGGGTTTGGTCTATTTTATATACATTAACACAGGCTCTAATTTGGGACCAGAGAAAATCTCTCTTATATCCGGGTTTGGTCTATTTTATATACATTAACACAGGCTCTAATTTGGGACCAGAGAAAATCTCTCTTATATCCGGGTTTGGTCTATTTTATATACATTAACACAGGCTCTAATTTGGGACCAGAGAAAATCTCTCTTTGGTCCTATATATCCGGGTTTGGTCTATTTTATATACATTAACACAGGCTCTAATTTGGGACCAGAGAAAAATCTCTTATATCCGGGTTTGGTCTATTTTATATACATTAACACAGGCTCTAATTTGGGACCAGAGAAAATCTCTCTTATATCCGGGTTTGGTCTATTTTATATACATTAACACAGGCTCTAATTTGGGACCAGAGAAAATCTCTCATATATCCGGGTTTCACTGTATTTCAAAACAATATACTTTCATGAATGTTTTCCAATTGTCATATATTTAAAATGAAGTCAGTAGCAAAATCTGAAATTAACATTATATACAAACTCATGTACTTGACTAAAAACATGAATTTTTGTTTATTTATATTGTGCTTGCTTGTAGTGTATGGTTAGAGGATTTATTTAAAAGTTTTATTTGGAATATATATTTGTTTTCAATTCTGTATTATATGGGAAATAATTTTTTTGTTTTTTAAATATTGTTTTTAGTTATTTTGATAATGTTTACGAATACCTTTTATATGACTTGTTCTTCCCTTGCTTCAACAGTTGAGGCGTCAAATACGGCTGCGTCGGGAATATATCTATCGTAAATCCATTGAAGATAAAGAACGAACAATTCAAGAAAAAAAACAACGCTTGCAGCAATCAATTGACAGTAAGTAAAGAACATCTTAATTTTTCTTATAATTTTTGCCACTTTATATTGTAAATGGATTAAAATCTACAAACTCTGAGACAGTAATATATTGTATTTAACCACATTTTTTTTATTCATTATAGGAAATTCCGCATTTGAATCTTAAGAAGATAGCTAAAGGAATTAGTTTCTATAGGCTAATCAGTAAAATATTGTTTTGGTTGGATAGACTCTCAAGGATTATAAGATGAGGTCAACTCTTGTCAAAAGCTTATTTATATTTAATCCATTCTGTTTACTTAACAGTAAAGATTATAAAAACAAATGTTGGAATAGAAAACAACAAAATAAACAAAGAAAAACTAGTGGAAGGAAAATTAATAATTGAAATATATCATCTTAGAAATTTGAATAACTTTTAAAAAAATTATATTTACAAGTATGACAGCAAAAACTCCTTGGCAACTAAGTTGAAATTCAAACTCATAAATTAATGACTGCACAAGAAATTCAGATAAGCTGGGCTGATGTGCTACTAATGAGGAGAAAATTATTAAAAATGAAGTACTAGATTTTCAGATGTTGTCACAATTCAATACAAATTGTTCAGTTTGGCAACTCTGGAGAAGTACTGTCTGTAATCATTTTTTTTCTCTCTAATTAGGGGTGAAAAGATGAACTTTTGAATCAATGCAAATTCAAATAGGTATCATCTTGCCTTGAATACATTTTGATGGCATTACTTAAATAGACTGGTTCATTCATAAAAAAATAGGGATAAATCTTTTGGGGAAATAATTCTTGTTGATTAGCATTCTTTAGGCCTTCCTTAGAAAAAAAAATTGATTTAGAAGGGAGGTTTGGTTTATAATATCAATACGATATCAAATTGATCCCTGACTTTTACAGAATTATTGGATGAAGCTGTTTTGAATATGAAAATATTTTTTTGAAGTGGTGTTTATAAAAACAGATACATTTTTAGTTAAAGAAAAATTTACATATCTTGATAAAATTATATATCCATTAATTTTTAAATTAAGATAAGCAATTGTTAACATCAAATGTTTTTGTATGTGTTTCCAAAAAATTTTAATTTAAAAAAGAGATTTTTTAAAAATTTAAAAAAAAAAAAAAAATCAGAAAATTAAAAAAAAAGTATGCAGATATCAATGATGTTAGAACATTTTCACGTTTGACATTTGTAAATAACACCTATGTGAGATCTCCAATAACTCTGTAAAAGTCAGGGATCGATTTGACACTGTATTGATATTATGAACTGGATACCTCTTCTAAATTGATAACAAATAAAGATTTTCCCAGCTTAAGGGAGGTCTAAAGCAGTGGTTCCCAAACAGTATGGCAGAAGAGAATAGCAGGTGAGGCAGAATGATTGAAAGACAAAGATTTAGAAACAGTTTCAAAAAATTCATATGCCAAAATAAATATGATTTCAAAATTTAAAATATTATGGATACATGCATGAGTCCCAGTATAAATAGTTATAAATAATTATTAAACGATTTTATCATTGTGATAATTTTGCATTATATCAAGTATTAAGAATATAGTAATTAGGATCTGAAAATTGAATGATATTGTTCTGACTTCGAATCCGTGGTTGTCTCCCTTTATCCCTCTCTTTGTCTTTTTTATTTTTAAATGTACTTTTTGTCACATAAAATTTGGTGAGATGGGAACAAATTTTTCATTCCAAAAATACTGCCCCCCCAAAAAAAAAAAAAATTAGGTAACCAATGGTCTAAAGAATCCTAATCCACAAAAATTATTTTTTCCCTATCTTTTACGAGTAGTCTGGTCTATTGAAGTAGTGTCCAAGGCAAATCCAATCCAAATAGTGCCCATTTTGATTTTTAAATCAAGGATGAGTTATCTCCCCTGCATTTCTCCGATATTTTCATGATTAATTTTTTAAGCTCAAGCTAGACGACATAAAAAAAACATAAAAACTGTTTTATTATTTGTATGTTGAAGAATCAAGTGATTTTCCTTTTCTCATATATCAACAAATCCTATTTATATTTTAACAAGATGTTTTATTTTTCTCTTTATTAAATTGTTTTATAATGTTTAATATGCATTTATATTTTAACTAACTTTTTCTTCTTCTATTTTGTAGATAATGTTCTTATAACACCAGAATTGAGGAAAGATGCCATCAAACTTCAAGGGAAAATGGATTGGGATACCAGTGGCTGTGATGGTAAGTTGTGAAATGTTCTTTAATTGTTGAACATTAAATAATAATTCTCCTACAGATATCATTCATTGTTTAGGCAAGAAAAGAGGAATTATCATTTAATACGGATTTATTTAGATTATTGTCTTAATCTTAGTTTTTCTGCTCAAAATATTTAGGCTCTTGTATTTTCTAGCTTTCTTCAGGTATCTATTTAGTAGTGGCAACCTTATTGTAAAGTTGTAAAGTGGACGAGACCCGAGAAACATGGATCACAAAGACAAATTAACTTATACAAGTTATCTCCCTTAGTATGGACAGCAGTATGAGGAGGAGCTGTTATTGAATAAAGGGTTTGATTCAAAATTTCTTGAAGGTTATGAAATACAACAGACACATGAAGAAAGCCGGAGTATACCTCTGCTAAATTGTTGTGAATATAACAGCTAAGATGAAGACGCCATTTTGAATAAATCAGTGTAGAATAATTTCATAATAGTAATTTTTTAAAATTTGAACATTTAATACATACCTACGTTCTGCTGGAGGACTTCTACAGACTATTTAGAGATTTAACTTGGAAGGTAAAATACAGCTATTTTGATTCCTCTTATAGAAAAATTTGTCAAGAAAGTTAGTCTTTGTGCCTTTGGTTTTTGAATGAATAAACAACTCCATAGTTAAATGTATTACTATTATTTATGCTCATAGTATTGTCCTCATCACTGTTGTTATATCACAACATTTTGACTATTATGCCCTCTGGCCTTCATCGGGTAATTATTGATCTGGGTAACCTTCAAGGAATTTTGAACTGAACACTTTATTTAATCTATGGGAAGTGATTGTTTTCATTATGCTTGGTCAGTTTTCACTAAGTCTCATCTGCACTATCCAGACTAGGAATTGAATTCACAATTACTATCTCACCAAATTCATGAATCAATGCTTTCATCCACTAGGCTATTGTCCTATAATGTAAATAACTCCTCATCCCAGGAATCAATTACTAGCTAGCTAATCCCCGTTGCAGACGCGTGCTCAGGCACATTTGTGTTTATTCAACACTCAGAGTGCCCACCTGTGGATTATACTACAACTAGGCTGAGTAGACCATAATTACAGTTTCTGGTAGAGAGCACGTTATCTAGTCTGAGCAACAATCTGAACAAGGCTAGCACACTTGAATCCTTGATCATGACGACTTTGACTTTGTGGTAGCACAACCACTGATGGCTCACAAGGCTTCCATCTACCCAGTTTTGCTCATAAGGCTTGGGTCAGACCATGGTATGGTTTTCAGGAACATGCCATGATTGCCTCCTCCAGGCTGCTAACATCAAGAAGTTTACCTTCCTGACAAATCAAAACTGGTGAAATTTGAACCCGGGTCTCATGGTCAGAAAGTGAACGTTTTGACCACTCAGCCACATGCCTGCCTATATATATATATATATATATATATATATATATATATATATATATATATATACCTAGTGAGTTAGATTAAACCTATTTAGGTTTCATTTAAACGGATCGTCAGGGAAACTTTCCTGACGATCCGTTTAGGTGAAACCTAGGTTTGAATCTGTGCCATTTTTTTTGTCGGCAGAAGTTCATGTTTGTAGCTTTTCTTTTTTAAAACCTTTTTTTTTTTCCCCTCAAGATTGATTTGATTAGCAAATCAAAATTTAAACGAAGTCTAGTTATATATATATATATATATATATATATATAGTAACTATACTCGTTTCAAAAAACTCTTGGATTTTTGATTTGCCAATAATCAAATCAATCTCGAAGGAAAAAATGTTTTAAAAAAGAAAGAGCCAGAAACATGAAAGTCTCTCTAAAAAAATCGCACAGATACAGGTTTTAAAGCCCAAAGAAAAAAACCCCAACATGAGTAAAAAAACTAACTAACTAAAAGAGCTCAATACAACCACAGAGCAGACCTAGATAAACCTAGTGAGTTAGACAAACCTACTTAGGTTTCACTAAGCGGATCATCAGGAAAGTTTTCCTGACGATCCGCTTAGGTGACACCTGGGTAGGTTTGTCTGGCTCACTAGGTTTGTTTATATATATATATATATATATATATATATATATATGAATAAACCAAAAACCAAGGTTAAAAAAAAATACATATGAGGTGGGGGTGTATAAGCTAAGAGAAAAAAGACCAAAAAACAGCCACTTACCTAAACGATAACAAACAGTGCTCTAAGCCTTGGTTACCAAGACAGGGAAGTTGAGCTTCCCAGCATTATGCCACAGAAATGAAAAAATTCAGACTACTACTTAAGATTTATACCACTGTGACCAGTACAAAAGTGTCTTGTATATATATATATGATGAAACTTAAGAACCTGGACACAAATTTACTCTGGTTGAACTAGCAATTAAAGCACTTTATAGACATTTTTTTTTTAATTGCTAATTCATACACAGTAAATTTGTATCCAGGTTTTTACAATGTTTCACCATTCTTGGCAGATCTGTTATCAGTGTTGGATATTTAGTATACATATACACACACACACAAACACACGCATATATATGTATGGGCACACGGCTGTGTGATTAGAACATTTGCTTTCTGACCATGTGACCTGAGTTTGAATCTCACCAGAATCGATTTGTCAGGAAATGTTAAAACATATGTTGGTTTTACAATGACTACATTGACAAGATGACTTACATTTCACTTATAGTTCAAATCTCAGAACATTTAAAGAAGCAGTCATGTCTACAGTTTAGACGGATATTAGTTGAAAATAGATTAGTACTCCATATAATCCTGTTACTAATGCCATTAGAAATATCCCTTTGTCTGGCCATCCGTAAAAAATATACCAATTCACTTTTATAAAAAATTTCCCTTATTAGTGAGAAAAAGTGTTTGATATTCCCTGACTTATATAGATATTAATATTTCTGGTAATAAAAAAAAAATTACTATTTCTGTAATAAACTATAAACAAAAAAGATTATGGGTGGTAGGGATATCTCAGTCTTATTATTGCACATTTGTTGCTCATTCTTGTTTTCACTTAGTATAGATTCAAGATTGTGCCATGTAACACTGGTTTGTGTGTCCTGGGTAAGACGATAAACTACATCTGACAGCAAGACCTCTGATTAGGTTTTGGGGAGTGTGGAACCATTTCTTGATTGCTAGTGTTCCCAGGTCCACCCTGACCCAGGGTGGTAGCACCTGTTAAGGTCCCAGCTATGGGCAAATTGTTAACCCCCAAACTGGGGTCAAAACACTATGAAAGTATAAAAATAGGTTTTAATAGCAGAAATACTTACCAGTTATACATTTTTTTTTTTAAAAAAAAAGAAAAAATATTAACATATCTGAAAGAAAATTACTACCAGAAATAGATTTGTTGTAGAAAAAAATATTACCAACAATAAAAATTTTGTCGGTATTAAATATTACCAACAATAAAAATTTTGTCGGCATTAAATAACCCATTGAGGTTGATATGCCATAAAACAAACCAAACCAAACATTGGTTTTGTGAATTTGATGATATGTTAATTCTGGGTTGGTTAGTGCAGACTTAGACTCAGTGGAAACAAGGTAAACAATAACTGAGCAGTACTAAATAAGGACAAGACAAGATATCCTTAGACATGGGAAGTGAAATGAGAACAATCTCTACTCTTATAGATTAAATAAAGCACCTGATGAAGGCTGGAGGGCAAAACAGCTGAAACATTGTGATAATAAGATGAGCATAATTGTCTGTAAATAATGGTGATTCCTCAGCCTAGAAATAGAGGCAAAAATTTTCTTTTATATCAAGTTCTTGATGGCAATTAATTTAGAAAATTGCAATGTATCATTAATGTAGTACAAATAAGATGTGACGTTGGCGTGGTACAGATGGGGTGCATCGTTGACGTGGCACAGGTGGGGTGCATCGTTGAGGTATTAGGTTGTTACCTATATTCATTCATTTTTTTTTTTTTTTCCTGATATTCTGAGAATGATCCCAAAGAAAGATTTATAAAGAGAAGATGTTGTACATGCTCATTCTTGTCTACTTGACATTACAAAGGGATGTCTAATCTGTAATAAACTTTCAATAACATTAGACAGCAGTTTCACAGGGTGACCAGAGTTACTAAGAAGCAAAATTTCTATGAAAGTTTATTCTTCACAGAACATCAGAAAAACAATGAACAGATATAAGTAACAACTTAATAGTAAAAGTGTGTGTCGCTGCTGTAGCACGGGCATGATATCCTTAATTTTAATTAACATTCTTTGCTTTTTCAGGTATCATCAATCACATGGATGATGAATACAAATGGGCTGGAGTAGAAGATCCTCACATTATGGTGACAACATCCAGAGATCCCAGCTCAAAATTAAAACAGTTTGCTAAAGTAAGATAAATATTTTCAAGAAATCTTATGATGAATTTTTGAAAGAATTAACTGCTGAATTTAAAATTAAAATACATATAAAAGATTTGATGTTCTACATCGAGTAGTCCAAGATTCTGACTAAGTCTGACTGCAATTTGATGAAAAAGTTCTATTGAGCTGTATCAAAAGTATTTTCATATTTTCAGTCTTCTGTATATTTTGTAATACTCTACATCGGTATCTTTTGATCACCCTAACTTGTCTGAAAGATGTTAAGTACTAATGTTTGGATTCACTACTACCTGGTATTTTGAAATAATTGACAACTGACTTTTGCTTCAAGGGACAAGTCTCTATCTCTAAAATGCTTAAACCGTTTTATTTTTTTTTTTTTCTCAGTTGACTTATAAGGCAATATGGTGTAAGAGACAGACAATCCTTGCTCTTAGTTGTTCCCTCTTGTCCCCAACTCAGTACCTTCCCTCTGCCTTTTCTATAGAAGAGTCTGCAATGTTATTGGTCCTAACCTGGCATCTTACCTTCAGTGACTTTCCCACTGTCAGACCGTAGCTTCCCTGTGTCTTTTCTATAAATATTTTCAGGGTAATTGTACTGATGGACTTGCATTTTTTGTTTCTAAATTTTATGAGTTTAAGTGTACTACTAGATTGGTAGTAAATTTCTTATCATCTTAGAGTTGAAGTGTCCCTAAATAACCATAAATTTTATGCTAAGTTTTTTTTCTTGCACTTCTCGCTTGTGGAACTCTCTTCTGGCTTCTTGCTTTCCAGTCGACTTTGATCTTCAAAAATTTAGAAGTAGTATCAATCATTATCTTCTGTCTTCTTAATTCCTGTTCTTTTAATGTTTTTCTTTCTTTAATGTTTTCTTTTTCTCGTATTCTCTAACTCATTAATTCCCCCCCCCCCTGCATCTTAGTGGCTTTATTACCTTTTTTGGATTAAATGATTAAAAAAACAAGATTCTAATTAGCAGCAGCAAGAGTCTTGTTCTATCTGCCTATATAAATGAGTTCAATTTAAGCACTCTCATTTTCTTATTCGGAGTTGTCTTAGTTGCCTAAAGAACGCTTGTCTATCTGAACAAAGAATTGCTTCCCTTAATTTGCTTTTAGTATTCTATCACAACACTTATATAATTTAAAAAGAAAAAAAGAAGAATTTTTAAAGATACATTGTTTGCATTTCGTTTTTTTTCTATTGAATATCTTTGTTGTTCATTATAATTTGTTTGTAATTGCCTGGTGTAACTTATTTGTGGAGTTGTGAACTTTTCTTGGTGTGAAATAGACACTCTGCATGTGGCTCTGGTTGAACTGTAACTAAGATCCACTCAGTATAGTTGCAGGTTGGCTCTGTGGGTGTGGAAAAAAACTGTAACACTAGTGAAAACGGCTTACCCCCAGTATGAAAACAGATTTGGATGTGTCTTGCATGTAAAATATTCCAAAAAGTAAATGGTAGCTTTACGAATCATATATTTAAAAAAAATAGATCTCAGAGTTTGACAGTTGTTTGCAAGAACCTCTTTTAACATTTGCAAATTTGAACTGTCACTCAAAAAAAATTTAAAAAATTACTTAAAGAGGCGACAGAGAGAAGTGTGACGGCTGTAACAAACAGGAGACGTATTGTTGGATTGTTTGACTTGTACGACTCTGTTGGTTGAAGGAAACAAATTAAGGCATTAGTGCCTGAGCAAGTGTCTGTAACAGGGATTAGCTAGCAGCAAGGCATACTTAGAAACAAGCGGCCATAATAATATTAATTACATGGGTGTTGTAGGTAAGTTAACAGTTGATAACATTGAACATTTCAGAGTAATGTCCTTGGGAAAGGCATGAACCTGTCTCTTCTATTTCTAGCTTTGTGTAAAATAGCAGAACAAACAAAAAACTTTGACTTTATGATCACTGGAAGAAATGAGCAGCCATGATGAAAATGAAAAATCACACTGATTTGCAGTGTGTCTTAAAGTTCAAAAAGCTGTCATAACTGGACACTGCTTTTTCATGAACATATTTGTATATTATATATGAAAAAAAACAAAAAAAAACAACTTGACTCACCAATGGTATGAATCCATCTCTTCTCCTGCCAGCTACGAGTTGAATAGCAGGACAGACTGGATCCTATAGCCTTGGTTGGCAACCAGTCTACTGCAGAAAGAAACAACAACGCAGTGTGTAAAAATCTTCTGCCTTGTCAGTCTTGAATCAAAAGAAACATAATCACCCACATGTGTATGGCCTAATATCACTTAATGGTTAAAAGAATTGGTAGGAGGTGATATCACAGTAGCAGTGAGAGGAAATTTCATTCAACTTGATATTTTTACAATTTTTTTTTATAGGTTATAAATATTGTTAATTTTTTATTTTTGTTCATTTGTAATAAAAACTGTTTTTTCCCCCCATTAGACTTTTATTCTTATTTAGAACTTTATTTTCACTGTATAAAGATAAAAAAAAAATGGCCACTTTTCTCTCAGTTGATCCTGTTTATAAATTTCAGGAAGTGCGGTTGCTCTTTCCAAACAGCAAGAAGATCAATCGTGGTAATTATGAAATTAAACAATTGATGGATGCCTGCCGAGCAAATAATGTTACAGATTTGATTCTACTTCATGAGCACAGAGGTGTGCCAGGTAAGGTCTTAAACTAATTCATATATTCAATGACAAATGACATTAATTAACAGGTAGTTTCTCACTACCTGTTAAGCATCAAGTAATGTGGGCCTCTACCTACCTTTTTTGATTCTAATTCTAAAGTATTCCTTCATCAATTTTGATTTGTGACAGGGAGCATTATCCTGCATAAAAATGAGCTTGGTGGGGTTGATTTTCACCCTTTCAGCAGAAGGGAGCAGACAAAACTCTAAAATTCTCTTGTACTGCTCACTCCTGAGGGTCTTTTCAATAGGTTTCAAGAAACCAGTTCCATGAAAAGAAAAACATCCCCAGAACATTATACTGAACGGATGCTTGTCAGTACTTACTAATAAATTCAAAGAGCTTTCAAAGCTTCTTCCTCGGATTTTAGATCGCTTATCCTTTGAATTTAGCTAAACTTTTGTTTCATCGAGAAGTAAAAAAAAATCAGGTGAGTCACTTTTTATCGAACAGCACTATATATATATATATATATATATATATATATATATATATATATATATATATATAATACTAGTTTTGATAGTAGAAGTGTCCACTGAAGATTTTGATACTATGCAATTATCTTATTCTGTAACTTCTTCTTTCCATTCTTCTCCCTCTTCTTTATCCCTCTCTGTTTCATCTTAAGGAGTGTCTCCCTATATTTTTTTAAAGAAGTGACGTACCATAGGCGGCTTGTTTTTGAATGGAATTATCCATAACCATTTTTAGTTCCCACCAGTCGAGATGCAAATAAGGCATTGAAACAAGAATGCATCTTTGTAGTGCGTAATTGTTTTTGTCCACATGTAAGAAATCTATAGTAAATAATTATTGCTCTTCTTTGGTATTGAGCCTCTTTTGAATTAATGCTGTGAGCGTTTGAATTTACTTTTTTACTCTCATTCTCATTACATCTGTATATATATATATATATATATATATATATATATATATATATATAATTACTTTGAATATACGCTCTTTAGTGCTAGAGGGCAGCGTCAGTGATGTTCTGAATTGGGTCATTGGGCAGTTTTGGGTCTTTCAAACATCATACTACCCTCACCAAGTCTACCCCATTAGAGCTGATCAGTCTCTGATGCGCCCCCAAGCTAAATTAACAGTCTAGACACTGACTTATATTAGACAAACCCTACCCCTCTATTACGCATTTGATTGGAAGTTGACCAACAGCGACTCATATGGTGTGAGTTCTATTTAAGTTGTTTATGGGGGAGTTTTACTTTTTTTTTATGTGGATACTCATCAGATAGTCGGAAAGTAATTGTGTATTTTCCAGTTTGTTTGTTGTTTTTTTGTTTTTTTTTTTACTTTAAAAAAAAAAATATATATATATATATATATATATATATAAAAGTAATGGGTTGATACCAATATTTTTACCGATTCTGGTACAATTTCCGGTAGTGTTCTAAATTTCTGATTCCTACAATGATTAAAAGTCACTATTCATTCAAGTTAGATATCCTTTTTAGGAAGTTGAAAACTAAATAATGCTGACATCCAACTTGAACATTTTACAACTGTTACAAAGCATTAAAATAAAAATTAAATAAAATAAGATTAAAAATGATTAAAACTTTCATAAGGATGAGAACAACTGTAAATGTGTATTTTTTTGCATGGGTTTAATTTTTCTTCAGTTATTTATTAGATTATTTGAAGATGAAATTTTACTAGCTTTATTTTAAAAATGTTAAAACAAAGTGGAAAAAATCTATAGCTTAATCATATCAGATAAAAATACACGTTTTTAACATTTTTTATACACTTCTACTTATAAAACTTGCATCTCATTTGGCTCCAAGGTAGAATAAATGAGAAAAAGTTCAAAATATTTTAAATACCATAATGATTTAACACAGGAAAGTTCAATTATGCCAAAAAAATATTAATAAAATTAAATTAAATACAATTTTTGATGAAAATTAAATTTTGTTTTTCAATACAAACTTTTTGTGTGAAAAAGCTTTTTTCCTTGAAACTTCAAATAAAAGTTTATTTTTTTTAAGCAAATAAAGATGAAAATCCATTTTGAAAGCTATAAAATTTTAAGAAATACATGAATTTCATAGAATGAAATTCATAAAAGTTTCATAAACAGAATGTTTACTTTTTTTTAAGTTTCAGTTATTGAAAAGAAGATTTATTTTTGTTTACATAGTATGCTGCATAAACAAAAATCTTTCCAATAGTTGAGACTAAAAAATGATTTTCTGGACTAAACTATTATAAAAACAAATTGTTGTAATTTAACTGCCTCGACACAAGGTTAATTTTTTATGTGAAGAAATCAAATGTGATATTGGCGGGTATCCCATACAGTCATGTTTCTTTTTCTTTTTTATAAATTAAAAAAAAAAAATAATAAAAATTGTCTTAAGAGAGAACCAACAGAACAACATGAATTCTTTTTGTGTTTATATTATATAATTTTGATTATAATTATTAAATTAGTAATTTATAATATTAAATGGATGAATTAATGTTTAAAAAAAAATTAAAAATTTTATTTTGAAAAAATTTTTTTTTTACACAAGTAAAATAAATTTACATCATACTTAAATTAGGTGTTATGATCTATAGATTTTAGTTTTACTGATAGTTTAAAATCAATGAATATTTATATCTTTTTATCATTAGCACCATGAGTGGAAAATTAAACAAAAGAAAAATCCAAAGAATTGTTTTTGGAATTTGAAATTAGGTTGTAATTTTCCAATTTACATAAAAAACATATATATATATTTTTATGTAATTGATATTAGTATTAGTAATATTATTTTTTAATTACATAAAAATATATATATATATATATATATATATATATATATATATATATATATATATATATATATATATTTTTATGTAATTAATATTACGAATGTATATGCTTAAAAAGCTTCAGAAATTTCAAGATAAGTTTTATATATATATTTATATATATATATAGCCGCAATTTTGTTAAGTTTCATTGATCCTAATTTCATGATATTAATTGTAATTAATTTGTTTACTTGTGTATTTTTCTTTAATTTCCTAAATTTGTTTGTATTCTTGAGGATAGAATCAATTTTTTTGTTATAGTCCTATTTAAAAGAAAAATATAAGACTTGTTACTCTTCTTTATCATTATATTTTTGTTTTAAGTTCTTTATAGGCCTTTTTTAATTCTTTGTTTAAAAATTGGCACCTCCTTATATGGCTATCTTTATTTTTTATGCTTTTTGCTTTGAGTTATTTTTTTTAATTCAGGGTGAGTTGTGATTAGTTTGTTATCATCATAAGATTTATGTTTTCCTTTCATATGAAAATGTTAGTATATTTAGCATATATTGAGAAATTTGTTGAGATTATAAAAGGCCTTGTTTTTTATGTGGTTCATGTAGAAATTAGATAAAGTGAAACCCAGAGGCATGTTCATAGATAGCTGCACCGTGTGTGTAAATGTTACCATAAGGATCATAAAATTGTGCTTGTCTGATGCAGGGTAGGAGTTTGCATAAAATATTGGGTCTAATATTCAGAGGTTGAAGATTAGAATGATGCATAAGTTTTGTATTACTATTTCTATGGTTTCTTTAACTCTGACATTAGTAAACAGACTTTCAACATCTAACAAGGCTAAGATGCCATTGTTAGGTTTATTAGAATGTAATATATCAAGGAATTCATTAGTAGAACCAACACTATATTAGATAAATATGGCTGGATCAGTTTGCTTAGAGTTTTATTTTAGACAGGAGTGACTATAACAACTAAAACTTGATTCCATCCTCACATTTACAGCCAAATTTACAGAATTAAAAAAAAAAAAAATGCTACTCACCTTCTTATGACAAATAGATTAATTACAATAACATGGAAATAGGATATATATATATATATATATATATATGTTGTTTTGTTTTGTAGCAGTGACGTCAGAGATGACTCTGACATCACTGCTACATCATAGACTGCTTCAATGATGGACAATTTTATTTTTTCGATATTGTTTTATTATGTGAGGGACAGTAATTGTAGCATTGTTTCTGGGAGGAAACAAGTGAGGGGGAGATGATCAGGAGAACAGTGGCTAGAATTTCTTTGCTATGTGTTGACTTGCCTCACTAAGAAATGTGGGTGTGACAGGCATGTTGACCCTTCAAATCCTTGTAGTCATTTCTGTGTCTTCATTTTATTAGTTTCATATCAAAAACTTAAAGACAATCCATCACTGTCAGAATTCAATGTTTATGGGTCTTCTGACCAGTAGTTTACTTTTCTGGGCCAGCTTATGTATTCTGTAACACTATCTTTCAATTCCAATCTGTCACTTTTGGAAACCTTCTTTCTGTTATGACTTTTTTTTTTTTCTTTTCCAGATGCAATGACAATTAGCCACCTGCCTTATGGACCCACTGCTTATTTTACTTTAGTGAATGTCATCATGCGACATGACATTCCTGATGTTGGCACTATGTCTGAAGCTTATCCACATCTTATCTTTCACAATTTTTCATCTCGACTTGGAAACCGAGTAAGTTCACTCTTTTGTCTGCATTTTCAAAATGTTTTTAACCTGTACAAACTTTAATAACTAGTAAATATGTCATGTGAATTCATTTGCAACTCTCTTATTTACAAAAAAAAAAAAAGACAATACTATAAAGTTAACTTATATTATTTAATATATTTAGTGGTCAGGCAACCTGGTCTCATTACTTAGTAATTATTTTGTTAATAGGGTCATATGACTCATTAATAGTTGAAATGAATATAGCTAATATTATCCTGATAGAATCTTTCGATTACTAAATAATGAAACCCAGTTGCTAATACAAAGCTTTTTGTTACTTTTTCTTCATGTTAGCTTTTTTTGAATAAAAATATCGAAAGTAAAAGTACTTTAGATGATTTTGAAATCAAAATTGTTTCAATGAGAAGTTGTAGTAAGGGGGAGACAAATTGGAATTGTTTCATGTGAAATGATACCTTACATTGGAAAATGACATGATGATAGTGTTAATAGCTATCAAACCATATAATAATTATCAATGTGTATTTGTATATTTTCTGTCCCATCTGTAGTAGAGAGGGAATTAAATCAACTTAAGTTAGTAAATTCATGAGTGATTACTTCCTTTAATCACTTCAATAAACTATACAAATAAAATATTTATCTGTATTTAGACAAAATTAGTTCCTGAGCAAAATGAACAGTTTAGTTAATCGGTTCCTTTATTCCTACGTTTCTTAGATTGCAGTCTTATTTGTTCAAGCCTTTCATGTGAGGCACTCAGATACCTTTTGTCGATTAAGTGATCGTTTTGTTTCAACTTGGTCTTGAAATCGACTTTGTTGTCGCCGTCTTTTTTGCTAATCTTTTTCTTCCAAGAGATATTTTCATTTCATCACATCAAATTTTTAACATGAAAAGATATTGAGCAAAAAGCAATTTATATAATACCAGGAGTAATCAATTAATCATTGATACTGTTGAATGTCTAAAAACATATAATATATGATTAATTAAATTGTTCATTCACCTCCATTTTAATTGTGAATTCTTTATCTCTGCTTTATTGAATCTCCATATATTGTTTCAAGACCCCCCCCCCATTGCATCTCATGATTAAAACTTTCAAACAATTACCAACATTTTTGACAGCACAGGTACATTAGTATAAAAATAGACATATATAAAATGTAATGTGTGTATTTATCTTCTAGTGACATAGCAATCATAATTGATAGTGAATAGAATGTTATTTAGTTTATTATTTAGGAAGTACTGAGCATGAGGAAATGGAAAAGGTTTTCAAGTGTAATAAAATTGCCAAATTAAGTATGTATTGCAGTCTTTTTTATGACGTGGGTAAACTAATATATAAATAGTCATTTTAAGTGTGAGTGTGAATTCTGAGTCAGTGTTTTAATTTTTAGACAAGTTTTTCTTTTATTTTTTTTTTTGTGCGTCTACCAAGAATATACAAGGTGATTGAAAAGTAACTGCCTATTTTATATATGATGGACTCTCCTGTCTAACTATAATTTTTACAAGACAGGTGAGTCCATCATACATAAAATAGGGAGTTACTTTTCAATCATCCTGTATATTTTTGAGTAAATGTTTAATCTTGTTTAAAATTGTCAAATTTTTTTCCCAGAATTCATTTTGTGAAAACTGGTATCATATTTAAAATGAATAAATCAATGATTAATTAATATTTATCATGTGAATCAAGACTAACCATTTTGTGATAATTAAGTCACCTCTATGTATTCCATAATCCACTTGAGGGTCATTGGTGCAACACAGATGACCAATGGTGGACTTTTGCTGAATGCTTCATAGATTCAACTTTTCAGTTGTTATTTTGCAATGGAATCAGTGTGGTTTAATAAAATATAAATGAAATGTTTCACTGAATAAACAATAATAGACAAATTGTATTCATTCTGTCAAGAAGAACTTGGTTAAATAGTGGGGTGGTGGTCAGATTAAGAAAAAAAAAAATCCTATCTTCAAGGGTCATGATTCTGAGGGTCAAAAGTCAATTTTGTGAGAAAATACAGTGGGTGTAAATAAAAAGGGTCAAAAATTTACATCACTATGTGCAACTGCCTTTTCACATACAAAAAATGATCCTGTGGTCTAAAATGGCATTCTTTTATTTGGGGTAAGATGGTTGAGGCTGGTAGTGGAAGCACAAAAAATTACCATATTTTGAGGCCACCTAAAGTCAACCAGACCTCGATTCAAATTTTCCTTTTGTCTACCTTAATTCTATACTTCTAACATCTCCACCTAAACTCTGAAATTTTATTTACTATTTATATTTTTTTTTCCTCAATGGAAGTAGATAGAATGCTCTATTATCCAGTTCACACTCCTCTCCAGTCTTTTGAACAGGAGTAGAGGTTTATCATTTCTTTCCTGTTTAGGATTAGCTTTTTGTTCTTTCTAAAGTTTTTTTTTTTTTTTTTATTCTCTTTCACTCTCAGTAGCCCCTTGTATCTTAGTGGCATTATTGCTTTGTCTGGGGTGAATTGATTAAAAAAAAAAAAACTCCCACACCCCTACATATATATAATTCAACAAATAAGGAACATTACTTTAGTTCAGTGCAGTCCTTTTTAAAGGGTAAAATGTGTTACATAGAATTTTTCTGTTTTCAAATTTACTTAGCTAAATTTGAACAGAAAGTTTATCTATTGTTTCTTGTTTATGATTGGGTTTCCAGGTCCACCTAAAATCTGCTTCGACTCCATACTTATGGCATCTCTGCAATTTTACTTGCTTTTATATGTTTATATATATATATATATATATAGATAGATAGATAGATAATATTAGTGGAAAATATACATACATATGCAAAATATATATAAAAAATTCCCATACATGTATATTTTCAGAAAAAAAAAAAAAAATTTCCAAGAGGAAGGATCCAGGTAGAACTCAATGTCTAGGACAGAGTAAGGATATAATAAAAAGGCTTAAACACTAAAGTCATTTCACCCCCAGTATCCCTTGCTTGGTGTGAATGGATTACAAAAAAAGTGGGGGTAGCTTAAAGAACACAAGTTCTTTTCCAAGGTAAGACTTGGTTTTTCTCCTTCAATGTCACAAAAAACATTATGTACATGGGGGACTTGTTATAGAATAGCAAAGGGAATTCTGAGCAATTTTCTTAAATCTAAAAATATTTTCAGAGCAATGATCATCAGTAATGAATGCCAGGATATCTTACATCAGATCTGATCATGTAATGCAGCACAACCATCCAAAAGATCTCCTATATGAACTGCATCATAAATGATGCACTGTTAGACACCATCAAGTAAGAAGCGTGCCCATTGGAAGACAAAAAGAGGAAGTTGAAATAGAAAAAGCGTTGGTTCTTATGTCCATACTATCTTACAAAGTACCATCTAGAAAGACAAAAGAAGAATAGACATGAAAAAATGGGCTAACAATGTCAGTGGGTGCACTGGAAGATCCTTCAGAGAGACTCGGACATAAGGAGGAAGCTGGTCAGGAAAAAAAAAAACTCTACGACCACACCTAGTCAGAGAACTGATGATGATGGATGCATTGTAGGTTGGCTATTTGAAGTACGGGTGGTCAAATTAAGTTCACATTCTAAAGTACCTGTATGCCTCTTTGGTGGAGCCAGAGGTTTAATCATGTCTTTCATGTATCCAAGTTTGAACAAAGTCTTTCATGTAGTGGATTTTCAAATTCTATGGAGATATCGCTCCCTCAGTGAAGACTGTGAAATGAATTGGCTAGTATTGTTGACATTGTGGCCACTAAGTGGGAATCCATATTGTCCAAACCAATCTTGGAATATTATTGACTCAAAGTTATAGACACATTGTTATTATCTCTCTCTTTTTATTTTCTTTGTAGGTAAAGAACATTTTAAAGTATTTGTATCCTGTCCCAAAAGATGAAAGCAAACGAGTGATCACTTTTTCAAATTCAGATGATTTTATTTCATTCAGGTAAGTTTATCAATCACCCCTTGGTTTTGTTTTTTGAATAATTTTGTACTATATGCAATCTCAAAATGTAGAATTCAATTCTCTTATTACAATACTGTAATTATAAAATATTTAGGGCCAATTATAAAAATAACTCCACAAAATTTTCATGAAATGTATACTTAAACACTTTTCTCTCGTCTTTTTCTCAGAATTTGAATTCCAGTCAGGTTTGTTACCTTCACTTACATGCAAATACCCTTGGGGAAAGATATGAATCTATCCTTCCCCCCCCATCTATGGACTAAATAGTAAAACTTGTATCTGGAAAAAAAATCATTGTTATTCTCAAAAGAAATTTTTAATGTAATATTCATTCACGAAAAGAAAATTATTCTTATAATCCAAAATATGTTTCAGCACAGCTCACAAACAGTTGATAAGCTGTTTTAAAAAAAAAAAAAAAGGAAATTTTGCATAATTTAAACAATCATTTTGGAAAGGGAAAATTTCATTGCAAGTTTCATGTTTAGGTTATTTGTATGTTTTTATATGAAGAAAAAAAAAGTCACCCTTGAGGTTCAATGATAAGCTTAAACAAAACCTAAATTTGCTTGACATCAATCTGTCGTCCTTTCACGAAGTGGCTTCTGATTGTGTTAAGTGGAGGATTGTGTGCATAAAAGGTATTGCATTTTATTTTTTTTAGGAATCACACATTGTCTTGTAATAACTAAAAGTTCAGAGCACTAAACAACACTCAAACATTGCAACAGCCTTCATTAGGGGTGCTGATCTTTGTTCTGTTTGTCATGGTTTGTGTCGGTCTCAAACTGGCCTTAAAAGTAATTAAAGGCACAAACAAAAGTGGGGCATCAAGGTGAAAACATACTGGTAAAGCGTCATACATTGAAAATGTCCATCATATATATTTTGAGGAAAGATGTATGACAAAGTAGACCAAATATGTCCTTTAGGACTGAGTTTGTTTATATTGGTGCACATGCACACAAACAAGTGATGCTGGGAAGTCTGACTTTAAATGTGTGTCTGGGTTATATAATCTAGATGATTTAATTTAGATTCTTTTTGTTTATTGGATATACTACACTGATAGCAGATCTGCCAGCAATGGTGAAATGTTGTAAGAGGCTGTGTGCAAATTTACTATAGATGTTCTAGTAATCGGGGCATTCTCAACATTTTCATTTTACTGAATTGTCAGAGTAGTACCATAATTTCTCGAAAATAATACGTACACCAACAAATGATCCAAAAATTAAGAAATATCTCTATCCCTATGTATAATATGCATTTATAAATTTTGTCAAAAAAAACATTACAAAGACATTTTGTCAACATTGAAAATAAAATCATCCTAACTAAGCAGCTAAAATAATGTTGAAAATTACCGTGCGGTTTTCCCAATAAATGTCAATGAGGATGTTATAAAGAGAGGTTTCAAGAAGTGAAGTCTCATGGATGGCTCTGAAAATGACATCCTTTGCTAAGAGAATGAAGAGACCAAAGATAATATTGTGAATGATAATTTGTTTAATGACAATTTAGATATTGATTCTATAATAGAAAGTGGTAATGATGATGAAAAATAAAATTTCAATAAATTGTTAACTTGATGTCCTCTTTTCTTTGAAATTGGCCTTTTTATAGATTTTTTTTTTTTTTTTTTTTTGCCAAATAAAAAAACGTTATTGACAAAAAAAATGTTACAATTATTATTGTTGTATTTAAAATAAAAATTCGGATATCTTTCTTAGTTTAGAACAAAAGTACGTATTTATTATTATAAATCAATAATGAAAAAAATATTTTTGTTTAAACCTATTTATAATATGCACCCCCCACTATCACTTGTAATTTACAGTAAACAAAAAAACGCCTATTATTTTTGAGAAATTACATTATTTTTATTTTTTATTTTTTTCTATATCAAAATTGTAGTAAGTCTTGTTACAGTGAGCAACTAATGCATTTAGTGTTCTATCAAATGTCTCTTTTGTGTTCATACAATATTTTATTGAAGTTTATCCTATGTATTCTTTGTGGCAATCATTACAGGCAATAGAGTAAATTCCTCTTTCAAGTTTTAGCTTATTTTGTTTATTATTGATTAATTCTTTTAGATATAGTTGTTATAAGTTTTATGTCGAGTTTAGATAAATTCTTTTCAAGGATCCTAGAAAAAATAAAGAAATCTACATTACCTCTTTGGGCAAAAAGGTGGGATTGTGATTATGAACAAGAATACATACAAAGAAAAAATATTCATTACTCAATGAAAAACAAACTGAAAATAATTACTGAAATTCAAAAGTTTAATAAGGAGATTAGGAAACTAATTAAAAACGAGAACAAATCATGGTATAGATTAATAGAATATCACCCTAAAATACCCAAACTTCATGGTCTCCACAAAACAGGTATCCCAATGCTCCCCATCACTTCTGTAACAAACTGGCAAAAGCCATAACAAAAATTTTAAACCTTCTCTACTTGGAACAATTAACCCATCTTATAAAAAATATTTTGGTGCAGTCTGGTTGAAAAACTAAAGGAGATGAAGATGACTGACAAACTCATGACCAGTCTAGACATAAAAAATCTCTTTAAACCAACGTCCCAGTTAAATAATGCTTAAATCTCTTTAAAAAAAAAAAGCCTTTGACAAAATCAAAGATAAACCTCTCCTTACCAATAGCTAAAATAATAAAAGTCTGCCATCTCATCACCAATCAATGCTACTTCACGTTTATAAAAATCATTATTAAACAAAAATTTCTATTACTAATGGGATCACTAATAGCATGTATTTTCTTAGAATTTCTCCTTGAGTTTGGCCCCATCTAAAGCATTTTACCCAAACAATCAACATACTTCCAATATATTGGTAATGTTCTATTAATATAGCCTCATGATACTGATTCACTTGACCTTATAAATAAACTAAACAAAGTCAAACATACAATAGAATTTACATAAAAATGGAAGAAAACATTACTTTACCTTTACTATGCTACACCACATTAACAGTAGCTTAAAACTTGGTGTCTACTGAAAATCAACCAATAAAAATGATCTCATAAATTTCTATTCCCATCATCATAATATAAAATCCAGAATAATCATTGGATTTACATGAAAAAGAGAAATACATCAAACACTTTCAAGCTTCTTCAATACCCCAATTATTTTATATTCAATGTGAAACAAAAGGCTCATAAAATATTCCAAAATAGAAAAATGGCCCCTCTTGACAAACTCAATGGATCAAAAAAATATATTATACTACCAGCTCTGTCACAACTACAATTGAAAAGAATTTATCTAAACTCAATATAATACTTATAACAACTATATCTAAAACAATAAAACTTGAAGGAGCAATTTACTCTATCTGTAATAATTGTCATAAAAAATACATTGAAGAAACCTCAAGAAAAGATTATATAACACAAAATGGACATTTTACAGAACAACACATTAAATGCATTAGTTGCTCACCATAAGATTGACTACAATTTTTATATAAAATAATGCTACTCTGATCAAGAGAAAACAATTTACGAAAATGGAAATGTTTTGAGAGTGCCCTGATCACTAGATCATCCATAGTAAATTTTCACTCAGTCTTTTACAATATTTTACCATTCTCACAGCATGGAATATTTTAAGGCCATTACTTTTTTTTTTTTTTTAAGAAAGTGCTCAGTTGATAACTAGAACTACAATAATTAATTCAAGCAACTTTGACCATCTCCAGTGTTTCATGCTATGCTGCTTGTCATGGTCTTTTTCTTTTTTTTAAAAGGGTATATTTAGGCTGTGAGAATTCATTTAAACAAGTTTTGTTAAGTATAGCTGATAAAAGCTGTTGAATTTCAAATTTTGTCCATCCAAATCAAAATTAAGTATAAACTGTTGAAAGTTCTGCTTTTGAGCAACTCTGTCATTATCAAGAACTGAATGTTGTCAGCCTGGAAGACAAGATTTTATTGGTTGCACCAATCTATAGACTAAGCATTTGAACAAAAACATGAACTTTGGACAGTTTGTCCACAATTTTGATTTCTATGTCCATCTTATTTAAAAACTGGTGGTGGAATATTAGAATAAATATGATTAAACAGAGTTGTTGGTTGAATGTAACAAAACTTGTTTGGATTAATTTTTGCTACCTAAATCTACCTTATATATATATATTTTCTTGGGTAGGGAAACTTATGATCAATGTCTGGTATCAAGTAACTTTATTCTCATTGTATTGCCAGAATAATTGAAAAAAGGATTTTTCCTTTGATTTTGAAAGCCAGCTTTAGGGTTGTAATTTTTTTTTATTCTCATTTCAGGCATCATGTTTACAAGAAGAATATGGAAACAAAGAAAATAGAACTGACTGAGGTTGGACCACGTTTTGAATTAAAATGTAAGCCTCACTCCTATTTTATTTTTCGGTAACAAAATATAGACACTGGGTTGTATAGACTTGGGTGGCAACTGGTCTAGAGGAAGGTCAACTCTGAATTCAAAACTGGAGTGGTCAGTGACTAACTTTCCTCACCATATTAAGGTCTGGTGGGAGAACTGGTTAAATGGAACCCCAGCAGCACACAAAAAAAAAAGCTGTTAAAGGGCATATGAACAGTCAATATGTGTTAAATAGTTTCATCAACCTGCAATTGGCCAAGTGTGGCTACACTCTTGAAGACATGGCTAATCAGGGAGGGGTTCCTCCAACAGGAATGAGAAGGCCCTAGATTAAGAGGAATATTTTAATGTTAAAATAATTAATTTTTTTTTTATCATGCATGTTACCATATACACTTAAAAGCAATATTGGTATTACAGATAGGAGGCTGATTTATGAATGTTTAAGGAAGGTCAAGTGCAATGAGCAGTCATTCAAAAAATGCTTTTGGATTTTGTAAACTTATATATAGTGTATAGGTGTGGTCCTCTACTTATCGTTGAAGAGACATGTCCCAAGACGCTTAGTGGATGCCTGAATTCTTGGATAGTACCAAACTGCACACACGTGCTATATTTTTCCTCTACATATTTAAAATTCTTGCTGCTCATGATGTCAAGCTCAGTGATACTGTTCTATACATGATGTTCATTTCCACAATAATTTGAAAAAATGCCAGGACGGAGCTAACAAACTTTTATCTATTATACTGTAAACATTTAGTTCCTAGTAATAAACAAAACTGTTGGAAGTACACAAACAAAACATGGTCAGTTTATCCATAATTTGGATCCTGATGGGCAACTACTTATTTAAAAATACAATAAAATAATTAAACACGCACATTATGTGTGTGTGTGTGTGTATAATTATTTTAAAAATCACTATGCAATTACAACATCCGCATCATGGGTAAGACGATAAACTATGTCCAACAGCAAGGCCTCTGTTCGGGAGGTTTTGAGGACTGTAGGACCACCTCTTAATTGCTGGTGTTCCCAGGTCCACCATGACCCATAGGGTTTAATACCGGGAATACTTTGTAAACAAATTATGAGCAGCAATACATTTTTGGGAATATATATATATATATATATATATATATATATATATATATCTCAGCAATAAAAATTTTATATATATATTTATATCAGCAATAAAAATTTTTTTATTAAATAGCCCATTGAGGTTGATATGCCGTAAAACAAAGCAAACAGCATAAATGTGTCCCTTCAGGCAATGTTAAACTACTGCTACTGGTGATTGAAAGATTAATTTGATTTAAAAAAGCAGAATACTTGAAAAAAAAAAAAAAAATAAATAAATAAATAAATAAAATAAAGTTATGGTTAGAATTGGGATGAATATATATTGGGTTAGCATTATTTTTCATATAAGGTTAAAATACATCATTAACAAGGTCTAATGTAACATCAAGAAAATCAACCTGTTTGTCATTAGTTACCATAAGAGTTAAGCTTTTTAATTCCCTATAAATCATTTTCCTTAATGTGTCAAACTTGATTTTAGTAAAAGTTCTTACTATAAGAACATCGTCTCCGTATAACCCAATACTATCAACATTAACATCTTTTTTAGTAGAATATTTAGCTCTTCTACATATTGATCACCCTTTTAAATTAAATTTTACATACAGTGGAATCATACTCCTTTTCTTCTCATTTTACTTGTGTGTGTATATATTAAAAAGAAATGTATGGTCATATGTTTATCTGATTATTGTGTATGATTTATGGATCTTATTAAAAATATGCTGCCCAGCATGTGTTGCTAAATATTTAATTATGCATATGCATGACTTGTTTTTAATAAGAGCCATAAAACTATTTACACTAATATCTCCTCTATTCGAAAGATATTTAGCACTTTATTCAAGAATAGTCTGTTTTCTGCTGAATTGCATTTCAGTTAAATGACAGTGTATGTATGTTTTTCTTTCTCTCTACAACTTTAGAAATGCATGTAAATATTAAACTGCTTTCAATGTGCTGGTATTATGGATAGATGGCTGACACTGAGAAGATCAGGAGTTGTAATGAGAAGATACAGTCAGTCTACAAATAAGCAACATAAAGAAAACCTAATCTTATAAAATGTTTATAATGACCAATTTTTTTGATATTACTAATTTGGACCTTTTTTTTCTCTCCTTTCCTTCCAGTGTACAAGCTCATACAAGGAACTGTTGATAATGCAGATACAGCTGATATTGAATGGGTGTTCAGACCGTATATGAGAACAGCTGCAAAGAGACAATTTTTAGCTGGTGACTAAGAAAAAAAAAAACACTGTAAATAAAATAAGTTTTGAATATTTGCTCCCTTTAATTTTTTTTTTTTTTTTATGCCACAATTCTTAAGTTTGCTCAATTTTGTATTGCTGGTTTGTATTTGTTACTAGTTTTAGTATAAGATTGTTAAAAAAAAACCAAAAAGGAATTTCCTCGGTATCTGTCTATATTTCTGAGATGAGGTACACTATTTACATTATTCGGACTATTGTCTTCATTTTTGTTGCCATATTTGGTGGATAAAGGTGTTAGATAGATCCAGTGACAGGACACAAAGAGTTTGAGTTCAATACCTGGTTAAGGTGGTGGAGAACTTGTAGAGGGGAATTAACGAGAGATAACTGATTTTAGGCTTGGCACGTCGAACTAGAACAGTCTAACCCAAAGAGCGAAATAAAGGGTTCAGTTCGACATTCCAACCACCTGAATAAGGCCAGAGTGTACGACAGCCAAAACATTGTGATAAATGTGGCAACAAAGATGAGGACAATAGTCTGAATAATGTAAATAGTGAAGGAATTTCCTATATATTAGCCAAAGTGGCCTGTTATAGTGAAAAAGCCAGGCTACTATTCCTGCAAGGTCTTGGTATATGTTGGTTGGATTAAATAATATGCATAAATAAAACCAATTAGAAAATAGTGCATTCAAAAGATGCTGACTGGTCAGCTTTTGCCCCAGTCTGTTGTTCAATTCCTGTTTGCAATGGTGTAAACAAAACTGGAAAAGGTTCAGTGTATGTTTAATGAAAAAACTGAATTAATCAAAACCTCATTAACCAGAATATGAGGAAGTAAAAAAGACAGTAGATTTTCAGTTGGTTTATTTATTTAAGGAGTGTTCACTGGCAGTGTACTAAAGCCACCCCACAGGAGATCTATCAAGAATGAATCAAAAGTAATTGGACTAGTATGACTCTAGCTGAGGGAGTTTACCCCAGAACAGTCTGCTGAGGTGGTGTGATGTGATTGTAGCCTTATGTTCCACAGGTTAAATACCAATGATTAAAAGTGTAGATAGATTAGATGAGAATAAAAATCTGAGAGATACAAGGCTCTCTTCTATGTAAATAACATTTATGTAAACATTTAAGAGGAAAAAAAAAAAGAAAAGCTGATTCGAGATCCTGAGTCATTTGCTATCAGTCAAGTACCTAAAAATTAAACTGTGTCAGTTATTTTTGTTTGCACTAAAAAAAAACAGGGTGGGTGAAGAGCATCACATGATTTTCATTGTCAACTTTTCACAAAACTACAAGAATATAAGGTTAATTATTAAGCATGTGCAAAACTTATCAGCTCCTGTTTTTTATAAACAAGATACTTAATGCACAGCTGGAAAAGCTTGCTCCACCGAGCATTAACTTGTGCCCAAGGCTTTTTTTCAGGTGTCTATATTTAAACTACCTGTACATCTTTTTTCTGTTGTTTATGTCTAGAAGTGAGTTGAGTTTGCCTCTATATATATTTTTAGTACTGCTCAGTTTTTTATTAAAAAAAAACTCTTAAAAATAGAATATACTTTTCTGAAAATTTGAGCATTTAATGTTTAATTAATCCAATTTGGAACGAATATTACTATCAGTTTATAATATTACAGAAAAGCCTTTTTAAACATAGATGTGCAGTTTTATGAGGTGTTGGTAGCTATCTTGATAAAAAAAAGAATTCCCAAACATGTCTAAGGGGGAACAATTACTTGACGTATAAAATATACCTGTTTCCAACTGATTCCGAGTCTCTACTACCTTGCCCAGGGATTGAACTCATTATTATGCCGCCAAATTCATAAACCAATGATTTAATCCTCTAGCCTATTTTCAATCCCTGAATACAAAAGAGTCAGTGGAAACAAGACTGGCAGTAATTGAACAGGTGAGATTTCTTTTAAGATTACTGGGTAGTTAAAAAAAAAAAAAATTATTAAAAAAGGTATTTACATTATATACACAAAGTAATTGCCCCCACTTACAAAAAATTCCCAAACAAGTCTATCGAGATAGCTACCAACACCTTGTAAAGACATCCATCTTTGTGTTTAAAAAGGCTTATCTGCAATATTATAAACTGATTAGTAATTTGTTTCAAATCAGATTAATTAAACTTTAAATCCTCAAAGTTTCAGAAAAGTATATTTTATTTTTGAAAGATTTTTTTTTTTTTAATAAAATTTATGATGAGAGAATTGCAAATATGCCTAAAAATTATCCATTTTTAGTAAATTAAAAAAATAAGAAAACATTCCAATCAATTTAAATAAGGTTTGAAATATAGCAAAGTTTTTTGCTTATTGGATATATTAAATTTAATCTATTGGCTTGAAATTAAAACTAAAATAAAATCTTCCAGAAAGATATTTTTAATTTTAAAGCCTTAGGTATTGCTTTTCTTTACAGGTCCATACATAAATGTAATTTTTGTTAGAATAATTGTTTTTCACATTAATCTAAGAGTAAATTTTAGAATGATTACTGTATAAAACATTCTTTTATGTAAGTTAAATAGTTTGTAATTATGAAAATTTTCTTGGTGAGAGGATCAGTTTTTGCAGGAAAAGATTTTTTTTTTTTTTTTTTTAAATAATAAAAACTTAAAAGAAAAATTCATGTTTAATTCTGTATTGGTTATTCTTTATGCAAGAAAAGAGGGGAAAAAACACATGCACTGATGGATCAAAAGGGAGAGATGTCAAGATAGAATTAGAATTGTGACAATGGTAAGTTTAAAAAAAAAAAAAAAGGCTTTGATAATAAACTGGAAAATAAGAAAAACATTATTTTTCAATAGACTGAAAGTATATTGATAGAAAGACAAGGAAAATGAAAGAAAAGGATTTTTTTTTTTCTTCTCCCCAGCCCAGGGTTGAGATGCTGATGACAGCTAATGTAGAAGCCATCTGTTTTTTTGTTGTTTTTTTTTTTAGTCAAATTAATATTAAGTGATGGTATTTTCTTAAGTGCCCAATTGACCCCACACAGAAGAACAGATTACAATTTAACAACTTCAAGTACCCATGACAGCTAAAAGCGGGACTCTGGCTGAAATTCAGTCAGGTGATAAAAACTTATATTTTAAGACCAACATGTTTCCAGCGGGGAAAACAGAAATGGGATTGTAGTTTTTTTTTTTTTTTTTTTAATCGCTTGTTGACCAAACAGATGATGGGGGGGAAGGTGCCAGATGACAGAACCCAGATGTAACCAACCACCAAAGATGCAATAAAAATTCCCCACTGATGAAAATTGAATTTAGTAATTTAAGATAGACCACACCTAGCCTCTGAGAACAGGTTTGATCAGAAGACGGAGAGAAAGGTGGTGGCACAGGTAGAATTTCAAAAGGAGCAGAGGAATCGCCTCCACCGCATTGGGCAGTGATAGTGAGAGGCACCCACACAAGATGGAATGAGTTGGGCAGATCAATATTTTGCTGCCACCACTCTTTGAATTGGGGGATCTCCCCAAATTTGGTCAGGAAATCAATTTCCTAAAAAACCAGACAAGAAAGGCTCTGTATAGATGTTGGGGTTTCCTCAGGAACCCCAACCACCTTAGGCCTCGTGCTGGGTTTGCGTGAAGGGCCATAAATACTGACAAGTAAAGGGAGGGAGAGTACAGGGTATTAAGAAAGAAGCAGACAGTTCGGAATGCTGGTTGTGAGGGAGACACATGTTAGTTGGTTTAAGATCCGTTTTGCCAAACCCTACACAACTGTAGAAAGAACTTAAGACTCCAACCTTGTTCCAGATTACCAATTACAACTGAATAGTTGGCCTGAAGAAATCAGATTCCAGCCTGGTACCAGTTTACCGAGCGTGGCTAAACATAGTGTCACAGGATATTAAGAGGGAAGATGCTGAAAATCTGCATGTTAATTTAGTGAGTAGAATGTTCAGTGTATGAAGCTTTGATATAAAGTTGTTGTGTTACACAGCTGTCTCTTACTTTGTTCCTAGTGGTGTCATCTTGCCAAAGCTACCGGCCATATGTTTCTTAAAAAAAAAAAAAAAAAAATAATAATGATGATGATAATAATAATAATGATGATAATAAAAAAGACAGCAGAATACAGTGACCAGGAAGATAGCTGGACAGGCAACAGGTAGGTCTCACTTTTTGGTATTCCCCTGAATTTTCTAATTTGTTGCATTTTTGCCAGAAATTTTCTTCTCTTTTCTCCGAGTTCTTCCAGTCTACTAGTATTCACTTAGGGATACACTAGTTGAGGGAAATGAGTGAGCACGGGTCAGAGCAGAGTGGAGGTTGAGGATGAGAAAGTTGGGCATCAGATAACAACTAGTCTGAGGAAGCTGCTAGGGGGACCCAGAGAGTTTTGACCTTTGGGGTGAACCCAAAGAGTGGTGGGGGGGTGGTAAAGGAATGGTTGGCATCTATCAGAAAGGGGCAAGTAATATATGAACTATCCAAGAAAGAAACAGTATATCTGGCCTATAACACAGTGGAAGGGCCAGTCTCCAAATTCATAGGGGAGCAGTTGATGAGGGACCCTTGGTTAGTGTGGACTGAGTTGAGAAGGCTACTGGCAGCTGAGTATGCAAATGAAAGGACAGCAGTAGAGGCAATAAGAAGCCTCATGAAGCTGGCCCAGATGAGGAGTGAAATGCCCACAGAATTGGGAGTGAGAGCTGAGGAGTTAGCTGTCCTGGTGAAGTGAGGGAAAATGCTGCCATACAGGCCCAGTTGGCCAATCTGTATGTGGAGGCCCTGGTCGATGAATGCATGAGGTGTGAGATAATTAAAGAGGCCCCAGTTGGGTTGTCATCTGCTATCGCCCCGGCAAAGGATACCCAGAGACTCCTAGAGAAGGCAAAAGCAAAGTGAACACAGGCACAGAGTTAGAAGGTAAGCAGACAGGACGGGGGTAGGAGCCCCCACACACACATACACGTGGAGTGAGAGGAGAAGAGGTTCCCAGTAGAGGGGGCATAGATTTTATAAGTCCACACCTGGCAAGTTGGGGCTAGTTTGCTGGACCTGCTGTTATGAGGGTCTCAGGGCGGTGGACTGCCCAACAAAGTGGGGATTATCCCCAGATAACAGTGAACCCAGATGCACCAGGTGCGGTCATCATAGATATAAGATGAGGTGGTATGGAATAAATAGAACCAGGGAAATGCCGGTGGCACACCCCAAAAGTAGAAGGGAGGGCGGCCCAGTTAAAGAGAAATGAAGTGCAGTGTTGGGCATGTGACCAGAACGGTCATTTTGCCAAGAAGTACCCTGAGAAAAAGGTGCTGGAACTGCAATGAACCAGGATACCTGAGGAGAAGTTGTCTCTACAAAGTCAGAAGAGGTGGATCTCGAAACACCTGCTCAGGGGGACTGCAACGTGGAACAAAAGTCAGAGGTCTCCATGATAGCGATAGTAGGGGGCTATTGTTGTCAGAACCCATGTTCAGTCGAGCTGAGGGTCATCGCTCTAGGAAGAGGATGGCTAAGGCATTCTTCCTGCTGACCCAAGGGAGAGAGAGCTGACCTGTGAAGCAATGATGGGGGTTTGACAATGAAGGCCCTGATAGATCCAGGAGCATTGATTTTCCTAATAAAAGAAAGCAAGCATAAAGGCTTGAGGAAATAGGGGTGGCTGAGAAGACCTGGCATAACAATTAGACAGATGGGAAACCAATGAAGATAATGGGAAAGGTAAGGCACCCAGTGAGAGTAAGGGGAATAAGGAGTGTCCATAATTTCTATGTGACCCCAAATCTCTGTGGAAATGCAATCTTGGGGGAGGATTGGCTACACCAACAGAGTTCAGCCCCACCGTATTAATAATATATGGTACAAGAACACCACTAGAGGGAACCTCCAAAGAGTCAGTTGTAGTGGTGACCAATGAATATATAAAATTACCCCTGAGGACTGCAGAGGTAGGTTAATGACCAAGAAATAGATTAGAGAAGGAGTTTTTCAAGTGGTCCCAGCGGATGAAGAGTGGTAGGAGCAGCAGAAGTATTACCTATTATGTTAACCAACCAAGCTAATAAGATGGTTAGAATATGAAAGGGAGAAGAAGTGCCCTGTTCCTGAAACCCATGCAATAAGTAAAGTTTGACACAAGGAGGAGGGGAGGGCCAGAGAAAGTAGGAGATGTGAAAGACAAAGAAATAGTGGCTCTTGATCAACTTAGGGCCAGATTGGTGAGGCTGTTGAGGGCTCACTGGGATGTGGTGGCTAATTTAGATAAGGAGTTGGGCCAGACTTGTACAGTGAAAATGCGAATAGACACTGGTGATCATGCATCAATTAAATTGAGGCTCATATGTTGAAATCGGGGATGATTGAAAGGTCAGAATCACCATGGAGTTTTCCAATAGTGGTCGTGGATAAAAAGAATGGTGGGCAGAAATTTTGTGTTCAGGAAGCTAAATGCCATCTTGAAACCCCTGCCATTGATACATGATATACTGGCTCTGTTGGGAAGGGTTAAATGCTTCTCCACAATAGACTTGAGAACAGGGTATGGGCAGATAGCCCTTGACAAGGCTGACAGAGAAAAGGCTGCATTTGTATGCCATATGGACCTGTTCCCATTCAAGGCTATGTTCTTTGGACTGGCCAATGCCCCAGGTATCTTCCAGTAGTTGATGTCCATTGTGCTTAGTGGAACTGAAGGGTTTACTATGGTCCATCTGGATATTTTGATATTCTCCGAGACCCCTGAACAACATTTTGACCCCCTGAAGCATGTTTTTTGAGCACCTCAGGAAGATTCAACTTTCAAAATGCAAGTTCCTGAAAGATTAGACTTAGTACATAGGATTCATTATAGGTGGGGAGGGGATAAAACCCAATCTGGTTAATAAAGTAGAAGTGATGAAGGAAACACCCTAGCCAAAGGTGAGGCAGGTGTGAGGGTTTATAGGAGCCATAGGCTACTATGGATGTTTTATCCTGGCGTTTTTCAGGTTGGCAACCCCACTGATAGCCTTAATGAAAAAGTATGCTAGATTCAAATAGACAGAGAGCATTTGACTGCCTGAAGAAGCAGTTGACTGCTATTCCTTTACTGACATATCCAGACCTCAGCAAATCAATGGTCCTTTATACTGATGCTAGTGAACAGATTATAGGAGCAGTCCTCACCCAGCCATGCCCAGCCAAAGATGGTCCAATGCCTGGTATACCAGAGGAGGTACCAGTGTACTTTTTGTCACACAGGCTCTTGGAGATACAACAACAGCCAGTGACAGAGAGGGAAGCATATCAGTCAGTCATCTAGGTAAGGATCAGGCTCAACTGCTTAATTTCAGGAAGTTCAAGTCAGAAACAATTTACAATAAAATGTTTAATGCATTTTAATTTTGCATTGTGGAGGTGAATTAATACTAGTTTAAATTTACATTGTCTTTCTTTTAACTATCAATCTATTCAATTGTGTGACTGGAAACTAAGGCAAAAATCGTTTCTTAATTGGTGTGAATATTGAAGTAATCCATACATATCACAAGACAACAAACAATCTCTATATCTATCTATATTTCTCAGATGAGGTATTGTAACTATTTACATTGTTTGGACTATTGTCCTCATCTTTATTATCATATTCATGACATTTCAGCCATTGTACACTCTGGCCTTCTTCAGGACCTGTTTATATTTCCCAGATGAGGTATTGTAACTATTTACGCTATTTACATTGTTTGGACTATTGTCCTCATCTTTATTATGATATTCATGACATTTCAGCCATTGTACATTCTGGCCTTCTTCAGGACCTGTCTATATTTCCCAGATGAGGTATTGTAACTATTTACACTATTTACATTGTTCAGACTGTTGTCCCTATATTTATTATCATGGAAAGAATGTCTACACAAACACCATTGAACCAATCTTCAGAAATACCAACATACAGATTGAGTATTCTGGATTTGGTTTGAAATTAAAAAAAAAAGTCACCTGATGAAGGCTGGAACATACAGCAGGTGAAATATTATGAATATGACAATAAAGATGAGGATAACAGTCTAAACAATATAAATAGTGTAAACACTCTCCATATGTTAATTTCCAAAACAACAGAATTGAGAAAAGCAAGGGAGTTGGGCTTATGGGGTTGAGTTAAAAAACATAAAATACTAAGTTATTTTCAAAATTTTATTAAAAAAGAAAATAAGTATGTGGACATGAAGTTTAAAACTGTTCTTAAAAAAAAAAAAAAAATTGGAGGGGGGTAAGTGGAGATTGGAAACAAACGTAAATAATTAAAGTTAAAGTAACTAAGTTCTTTTGGTCACAGATTATTACACATTTCTTTTGAATAAACTTTACTTCTACGTTTCATATAAAAGAAAGTGTTTGAAAGCCATTTGATACAGCAACAATATTTCTGCAGTTTCAAGCAGATAATTTTTTTTCTTTTGTTTCCATACAAATATTTATTTAGTCACAGCTCTTTTGCAATGGCTTTTCTGGTCAGAGAATTTCTTATATTGCATAGTTCAAGCTTATATTTATGTATTAGGAAAATCTATTTCTTAATCCGCATAATCCTCTCTGTGTGAATATTCAATAAGTGTATTCTCTGAATGCAGACATTTTTTGCAATTAGATAAAGAGGAGAAACAACAGTGTCCATGGACAGACTATAAAAAGGCACAGCATTTGTAATCCCAATTCCAGTTATTTGGATGTGGCTGAAGAAATCGGATTAACCCCAAGAATGAGATTTGGTATCATTACCACAACTGACATGTTGGTAAGTAGTAAGAGTCGTCTGTTCAGTGTGGCCCAAGTAACTATAGTTGGCTGTTAAACTGCAAAACAAAATACAGAGAATTCAAAAGCTTTTTATTTTAAAGATTATCATACAAAAATTAAAATATAAGAAATATAAGGCATTTTGAAAAGTTTTAAATGAAGAATTCTAAAATGAGCAAAACACTTTAAAATTCAAAAAAATAAAAATGCTAATACATACATGCATAACCATTTTTTATTTTTGTTGAGGCAGGACTGGGATTAATTTCCCCACAAAGCAAGGTGGGTCCTGCCTGACAGAGGAATTCTCATAATGACTTGAAGCCAGGTTCTACAAGGCTGGATGCTCTTCTTGACACGCATTTCAGACAAAGTACAAAGAATGTTTTTATTGAGAAACCATCTCTAGGATAATTACCATTCAAGGCTTAAGACCCCATCCTAGCCATATTTTATATAGTGATTTTCCAAGCATAGCTCAGATGTGGCACAAGGCCAAAAGTATGGGGCAACCAGTGAGGATTGAGCTCACTACTCAGTCATAATTGTTCTAGCAAGACAAGTTTACTAACAATTACACCACCTCAAGGTGCCCTATTATATATATATATATATATCTCTATCCAATTGATTCATTGAGTCTAGAAGAATCCTCAACAGAATGCAGAAAGCACTAGACAGCCATTTCGTTCTATTTGGGACTCATCAGCAGTGTGCATCCACTACCAAGAATTGAACCCGGACAGTTATGATACGGTGCAAACAACATACCAATTCTACCAACAGGCCTTGGTGATGAAGAGGTGACAAACTAGACTCAATATAGCACTGCTCTCACTTTCTGTTGTGTAACTCATCTGAGAATATCTTTCCCATAGGATTCTTTAATAGAGATTTCATTTTTTTGTTTGTCATTTTCAATAAACTGTTTTAAAGCTTTACTAAGTTGGAGAAGCTAACATAAAGAATTACAAATAAAACATCTTATAATACAAGTTGAGTATCATTTATCTGAAATTCCAAAAAAGTTTTTCAGGTGCTGACATGACTTGTCACAAATGGAAAATTTCAGAAAGCACTAAGAAGGTTCCTAGGTGATGTGAACCTCACCTACCCAGGGTGGGGGTTCCCCAGCCCAGCTACATAACCTATGTTGGTACCAGTTTTTTGTTAGCAATCATCACAGCAATGCCTTAATTTGTGGACCAGGTGTTTTGTGCTCAATGTCAAAAAGTCATGCATTTATAAATTTTTTATAAGTAGTGATAATGTTTTTTTTTGTACACATACAGAAAGTAGAAAACATTATTTTTACATGAAATTTTAATTTTGTGACTTAAAAATCTATGTGAGCATTACCTGACTAGCATCATTACCTGTATCACTATGTACACAAAATTTATTAAATTTTATGAAAACTAATTTCAGGGTATATGTTATTTACATATGACTACCTTCAGGGTATATGTTATTTACATATGACTACCTTCAGGGTATATGTTATTTACATATGACTACCTTCAGGGTATATGTTATTTACATATGACTACCTTCAGGGTATATGTTATTTACATATGACTACCTTCAGGGTATATGTTATTTACATATGACTACCTTCAGGGTATATGTTATTTACATATGACTACCTTCAGGGTATATGTTATTTACATATGACTACCTTCAGGGTATATGTATAAGCTGTGTTATGAAATGTAAAGGGATATCGTGATTATGCTTGGGTTACATTCCCAAGCTACCCCCATTTTAGAGATGCTATATACAAATTAAATAGACTGTATTACAAAATCAAAAAAATTTGAAAGCCGAAGCACTTCTGATCTGAAGAATTTAGGATAAAGGATTTTTCAACCTGTATAATGCATTAGATAATGATAATAATATTGTGTACCATGCTTATTGACACATAGAAACATGGTTTACGATGGTCTTTGGCTAATTATCGGTCACTACAATTAATTTAAGTCTCTATTTAAAGACTTAATCAGCTTACTAAGGAAAAGCAGCAGATTGGATGCAGTGAAATGTGTGTGTGTGTGTGTGTGTGTATATATATATATATATATATATATATATATATATATATATATAGTGATTTTCCAAGCTTAGCTTAGATGTTGCATAAAATCAAAAGTACGAGGCACCCAGTGAGAATTGAACTCACTACACAGTCATAATTGACTTGTTCTAGCGAGACAAGCTTGCTAGCCATTACACCGTGTGTGTGTGTGTGTGTGTGTATATATATATATATATATATATATTTATATATAAATAAAAAATAATCAGTCATATTCTGGTAATATTATAACATTAAAATGAACATTAAGTACACTACAGCTATAGCCTGATGGTTAGAGCTTTGGATTATAAGCTGAATAATCTGAGATTTTTCTCTCTGGTTCAAGCATCAATTAAATCATTAATAAAATAAATTTAAAAATAAGCAGTTTTCAACCAAAACAAATACAGTTTGAGAATTTATTCTTCAACATGTAAAAGAAAAATTAAATTTCATCATTATATTTTATCAAGTCATTACACACACTAAAGCTCGACCAATCCTCATAGCGGTCCAATTCAACTTACACTCATTGACCTCCTGGTCATAATATCAGTGCATTGGTTGAAGTGTAATATTTGTATAGGTTTTATTTAAATAAATCACTTTATCAGTTGCCAAATACATTAAATAATATGCATCTTAAGTTAAAGTTAAAAACCAAAATGAAAAATGTGCCAATAAATCAAGTATGTTGGTCTATTGCCAGAAAATATCAATGCCGTTCTTTGTTCAGGCAATGGTTCATTAAATATTATTAAGACATTTCATCATTAATCTGTGACCTGTCATTTTCTTTAACTTATTCTGAATTCACACTACTAGTTTTATTGATCAGAGAATAGACAACACAAAGTCATGATAAAAAGCAACAATAAGATGAAGTAAAATAAAAAAAATGAATAATTAAAGAAATTCATATCAGAAATCAAAATATTACATTTTAACTTGTAAGTTATTGACCTTAAGACATAAGCAATTAACCCTACGTCACTCATCTTGAATTCCTGAGAATGGATTAGTCCCCTGCGGTGTTTACATAAGCCAATATGAAAATGTTTACAATGTTAGAATTATGTAAAATATTGTCATACTGCTGGAAGAAATACCAGAACAGGCAATCTCTGTTACAATATACATTAAATAAAAACTTGAACTGAAGATGTAATTATTCATTGAAATGAAAATTATAATAAATTTGTTGTATAAACATATGTTATAAAGTATACGTGAAACACACAATACAATAGACAAAAGTTTTATTCATCAAAAATAACCACAATATAGAAAGATATTACTTTAACTAAACTCATAATTACAGAACAGAAAGAGTATTAAAAGAAATAATATATATGACAAAGTGGAAAATATTTTTTTGTGATGTATTTCATCCTTTAGGACTTCAGACTAAATTTGTTATGTTGGTGCAGCTACATAAGCACACAAATGAGGGATGCTGGGAATTTTAAATCCTAATTTTTTTTTTTTATCTAGCCGATTTAATTTAAAAACATCATAGAAACTGCATCATGAATTTATGACCTGTGTTAGCTATTCTGCAACTGTTATTATCACATAGCAATCTTCTATGTCAACATAACAGAATATCATCTTTGATGGTAAATATCTTTGTTTAAATGACCTTATAATCACTCTGAAGCCAAAAGCTTAGATCAAGGAACAGCATAATAAAAAAATATCCAAATGAGTCTGTCTATATTTCTGAGATGAGGTATTATGTACAGTATTTACATTATTCAGACTATTGTCCTCATCTTTGTCGCCATATTTATCACAATGTTTCGGCCGTTGTATGCTCCAGCCTTCTTCAGGTGGTTGGAATTTCAAACTGAACCCTTTATTTTGATCACTGGGGTAGACTGTTCTAGTTCCACGTGCCATGTTTGATGGATGTCAGTTATCAGTTATCTCCTGCTAATTTTCCCTTGAAGACACATGGCACAGTGGATAAAGGCGTTGGTTAGATCCAGTGACAGACCCAAAGAGTGTGAGTTCAATACCCGGTTAAGGCAGTGGAGAACTTTCAGAGGGAAATTCGAAAATTCGAAATTCCAACCACCTGCAGAAGGCCAGAACGAACAACGGCCGAAACGTTGTGATAAATATGGTGACAAAGATGAGGACAATAGTCCGAATAATGTAAATATTGTAAATATCCAGATGTTGGATAATTTTTCTTCTTTATTTTCACCCTAAATTAAAGCAACCATACAAAGTTTAGAATGGCTCATGATCAAACAGACATCTATTGTCTGTTATATTTAATAAGTGATGCCCTTCCTCCTGCTACAACTGTGCTAGATACCCTCACTAAGTCAGAGTAGTAGTAGGGAGCAAAAGAAACAAATTGCCAACTAGGAATTATGAGTAGTTAAAAAAAAATGTAGCAATAAACCCCCCTCCCCATGTGACTAATTCAGGGTCGAGAATGAAATTGGAGAAAAGAAAAACAATACTTACTCAAATTGCATAAACATATCATGTACCCATCTCCTAGGATCATTGCAGAATTTCCTTAAAAGAAAAGAAAAAGAAAAAAAAAAGGTCATTATGCCATTAAAACACAAGGGGTTACAGAGTGTTGAAGAATTAGAAACAGAAACATTAATGATGAGCAGAAAGTGAAAAAAGTAATAATCAGGTGGACAATAAGTAGGGATTGACATTGTATTTACATTTTTGCAGATTAAAGTTGGCTGGAAAGCATGGAGCTGGAAGGGAGTTCCACAAGTGAGAAGCGTGAGAGAAGAAACTGTTAGCATAGAATTTACAGCTACATCTCAACTGTAAATTGATGAGATTTCAATGCCAGTCTAGTGGTGCACTTAAATTCAAAAACTTTAGGTACCATAGCAAAGAGCAATATTTATTCTATTTACATACAGAGATGTGGTACAAGGCCAAAATGGTGAATGAGGAAAAAAGATGGTCTTCTTTTGTCTTAACATTAAACTTAGCTAGTTACAATCACTGACCCAAACATGTCATTTATTAAAAATGATTTATTTAGGAAATTTAAAAACAAATCATTACCTCTTTCTATATGTTAAAGGGGGACTTAACTTTAACTTCCGAAAAGAGATAACTATTTGTTTTTAAATTTCCCTAAAAAATCATTTTTATCACAAGTTATCAACATCAACTGAGGAAGTACAATCATAGTATTGAAACATGAAAGGTTTTGTGTAGCGATGTAAAATGTTTTTATTATAATCTATTATAACAAAAATATAATATTTTGCTCTACTTTATATTGAGCACTTTTTTAAAAAAAAGTAAATGCTATGAACTGTGGATTTTTACTCCATCTGTTCTGTCTCTTATTTGGAGATTATATATAACAAAATATAGTTTTAAGGTGTGCTATATTTATGGGATAAAGTGTTCAATATCAGAGATAGAGCCTATGTAAATATAAAAGTGAACATTGAAGTCAACACTGGAGGCGACAGGCTGTTTCATGCTGGATGCAATCGTCACTTTTATATATATATATATATATATATATATATATATATATATATATATATATATAAATGAAAACTAACATTTTAGGCATTTAAAACAACATGCCTGCCCGCACTCACAATTCCGTAAAATACTTGTCGAAAACACAATTATACTTCGACATGAAAACAATACACAAAAACTAAAAATCCTTGAAGCATTATACATCAAACAGTTGAAACCCAACCTAAACAAAATCAATTATGGCATCTCTACAAATATTCTTAAATGTCTAAAATTGGTAACAGAAGCTATTGGTTTATACCAACGGCTTTCCATACTTCATACTTCTCCAATTCACTCTCGTGTGGTCATGTGTGACGTCATGAGATGCGGTGCAATTTTCGCTTCTAGCGTCTTATATGTGCGTGTTTATCGTTGCTTAGAAATCCTCTATGTAAACAATGACAGACTATCATCACTGTCTTGTCCGTATATTGCTTAATATGTTGTAATTGACATCTTTGATAATGGCTTAAGTAAGCCGAAAGCTTAGATTGTATTAAAAAAAAAAAATATGGATCAATATTGTGAATTTCTTTCTTTGTTCAACGATAATGTTATTAAACTTATCAGACGTTACAAAAAAATTTTACATAAAATAAATAGACAACACTTGTCTATATTATTTAATGAAACGTGCATGTATATATATATATATATATATATATATATAAACTTTTTTTTTTTTTTTTTTTTATAGATCTGATGGTTGCCAAGAGGTCTAAATATGAATATACGGTTTGATAAATGAATGGAGTGTTTACTCAAGTATGAATATCCACTATTTAAAAAAAAAAAAAAAAGAAAAAAAAGAAGACATTTAAGTAATAAATTCTGTTTGATTAATAAATAAAAAATACATCCCATAATATATATATAAATATATATACATATATATATTATTATTTTTTTTTTTACTTACGCAAGATAACCTTCATCTCCTGAGAGTGTGAGATTCATAGCAACATAATATTCCTTGAGAGACAGATGGGGGATGATAAGATTTGTAGTGTTAACCACCTTATTTAATACCCTCATATCGTACTGCACAGCCATTGTTACTCCCGTTACAGTCACAGGCACATAATTTTCATTGCTAAAGTTGTATCGATTCTGAAACAAACAAATAGAAGGTTAATACTTTCAACATTAGTTATTTTTTTCAGTCCTATTAATGGTCTTACATTTAGTGTATGATACTAGTCTTTAAATAATTGTTACATGTGAAAATGAAAAAATAAAAAAAGATAAACTGAACAAAAATGTATTAGTTTATTAATTAAAGTACTTGGAAACATTAACATTTAAGTAAATTTACATTTAAATGTAATTGAGTAAGGTCCCATTTGTGCATGAAAACAACCTTCAGAAAAATTGTAGAAAAGTTGCATTGAACAGAAATTGATGAGAAAAGAAAAACAATTAAAATTTTTAATTAGAAACATTAAGTGATTATTGGAAGGAGGACCAGTAAGAATCAAATGCCAGTTTAACTTAGACTAAGGTTTCCCAACCTGGGTGATATTGCCCACTTGTGGGTCATGAGCAACTGAACAGAAAATGGTGGGCGATTGAAAATTTCGTTAGGCGATATTGGATTTTGAGTATTAAAAAGGTAGTCCAACATGTTACCCCGACCCCCAAATATGCTCATAGGATATAGGCAAAGAACCTGCATAAACATCATCATCATCATCCTCTTGCAGCCTCAGCCGAGATTGAACTCACTACACCTCTCCAGTATTCCCTATCTGTCATAGCACCTAAAAGATCTTCCTTAGGGATCAATGTGTCACATTTTATCCTATCTGGAAAGGTTAACTTGCGTGATCGATTGACAGATGATGGGTGCCTCCAGAGTACAAATGATGACACAAGTTCATCTGTGGCACGTGCCCAATGCCCGGCAAACTAGACACATCTCTTACAAACTAAAGTTGATACTCTTGGCAAGTCACCATATATCATTTCTAGAGTTGGGTGGTTTCGCCATGAGAGATTAAGCACTCTTCTTAAAAGACGTGTATAACATCCATCCTGCATAAACACCCCACTCCAAAAAAGCAGCAGGATAAATAGGAATAACTGGGTCATGGTCCTAGATAAAATATAATCATCCCAGCAAACAAGGAATATCTTGACATTTTCTATATAGTTTTCAATAGTCAGGTTTGCTTTTATTTGTTCTTTAATATGGCAGTAGAAGCAGCCACTGACACATGAGTCAGCATTATTTGTTACCTGCCTTTGATATTCTTTTTTACTACATTATAAAGTCAGTTTATGAACCAATAACAAACTTTTACCAAACAATTTTGCAAAGTTTGTAGTTTGGATGGTAGTTCCATAATACTTGCCACTTCTTAGTAAACAAAAGATCAATGAAAGTAAGCTGTTTATTCCTGTAAACTCCTGGGGTATAAGAGCCCAACCATACTGATGCTGGTGCAGTTTCAGTAACCAGTATGGTGTATACAGGGTAGAATTGTTCACTATGCATAACAGTATAGTATTAAATCCATAGCTGTCTTTCTCCTATCATAGATTGGTTGCCAGTCAAGGCTAGGGAGCTTAGTCTGCCTCTCTGAATTGACATTTGTTCAAAGAATTGGAACACAAAATTCTCAAATATAAATGTCAGCTAAAAACAGAGCATACAAGGCCACAGACAGAGCCACATATATACAAATAATTTATTTTCCTGTCTTTTCAATTTATGAACAATTTTATAAATAACTCTTTCAAAAATTCATCTCTCAATAATAGAATGGTCGAAGTCAAAAAACAAAAAAGTCTAAACTTCAATTTATAACAAATCTATAAAAAAAATAGAGAAAGTTCACACATGACAATATTTGATTGGCCAAATGTGTTTGTTTTTTGTCATCAGATGGCATGAGAGTTTAGTAATGGAAACTAACTACATTAACAGAAATTGTTTTTAATTGTATTCAGATAGTGTGCATTTTAAAGATGATTAAATTTGGCATATTTTATGTTTATTTATTTGGGAGAATATTAGATCATTGCAAAAGTTTGTGCCTAATCAGAAAATTAAAAACAAAATTTTGCATAATCAAATAAAAAAAAAAAAAATTATTAGTCAAGTATTTAGTCGCTATTGTTTTTAAAAACTGTCTTGATGCCATTTTCATAGAAACTATGTTTTTGTTGTTGTGAGGTTGTTTTAATTGTAAATCACAGTATATTAAGACAAAGTTATGATAAATCTAGCAAAATTTTTTAAAAGCTTATTTTTTCCAAATAAACTTTTATTGATATAAATTCATAAAGGAAGATTTTAATTGACATATAATATTCTAACAATTTTTTTAGAATTGTATTCTTAAAAAAAAAGTTTATTTTAAATTAAAAAAAAATCTGTAGCCATTAAAAATTATGTTTATTTTTATATAGCTTTTTATATAAGAATGCAGCTAATATTCTTTTTATTGAATTAATATATTAAATTATGTTCCTTAGAAATGTCAAAATACTTATTCTTTTTAACTTCAAATGAATAAGTGTTCTGACATTCTGTTTTAAATTGTAAAAATATTTTAAAATAGCTTCCTCACTAATAATTTTTTTATTGAATTAATAAATTATGTTCCTTAAAAATGTCAGGAAGCTTCATTAATATAGATTTTGTTTACTATCTTAGATTTTTACAAGAATTTAAAATAGGTCTGGTTTTAAAAATCTTTTTAAGTATATGAACTACATTTTCGACCTGAAAACATAAAGAGAGAATTGTTGGCCTTTGACGAAAAAACAGGATCCACGATTGCAGTTAAACTTCAAAACACATCTTGATGAGGGTGGTGCTATCCCTAGAAAATGACCACCTCTAGAAAGTCACCAGGTTCTAAGAGAACTCAACTGGCGAATTTTGCCCTTAAAAATGTTTTAAATCAAAATATTATTGATGACTGAGCATACAAACAGCAGAATAAATTCCATAAGGGAAGGGAAATTAAATTTTCTTGATAGAAATTACTGGAGTGTTGTTAGGCAGCAAGTGACACTTATTATATGCAGCATCATCAAATTCCCATATCCAAAAATCAATCTGTCTCTTGTAATTGAATCTGATTTTGCAGCACATGCATTTTGAAAAGATGTGGAAATGAATACGATAGGGGATTATAAGATTCCTAAACATGTAACAGATCAAAATACTCTTGAAATTCTTATGGAAAACATGAAGAAAATGTACACAGAACAACACCAAACCAAACCAAACCTCAAAATATCATTTCTACATTACATTTGGTAATGTTGTTTCTACTATTGGTGCAAAAGGAATCATATTTTAATTCAATATAATTTATATATGAACAGCTAAAATTAATGACACAGACAAGTTAAGAGACTGCAAGTATAAAATTTTTACCTAGCTATTCAACCAATAAAAGACTTATCTTATCAATATGTATGAATCTTGATTGTACAACACAAGTTTTCTTATGTATATTAAAAATAAATTTAAGTTATTAGTATAGAAAGACACCACAGTATCTTTACATGTTGATGAAATTCAGCTAAAACTTTATTTTGATTATAAGGGCGGTAATATTCTTGGTTTATCTAACAGCAATGAAGCTGCAACAAGTGCTTTTGTTCTTATGCGTAGCAGTGTATTCTCAAAATATAAGGATGTTGTACATGTTATGCCAACAAAATACCTTCAAAGTTGAGAATTTATTTATTTAACATAGTTAAACGTATTGGTTTAGAGGAGATAGGCTTTCAAGTATTATCAATCATAACAGATAATGATACTATAAATAAAAAAGCTATATCTTTTGTAGTCCACCAAAGCTTTTAATTGTATATCAACACCCAGTTATGAAGCCGAGATCTCTTTTCTTCCTATTTGATTCAGTTCATATATTAAAATGCATTAGAAATGATTGGCTTGGGCAAAAAGATGCAAGTAAATACATACTGTCCCCAAAATTTTGTCATAATGAAAATTAAGAAGTAGATAGTATCCAAAGTGCTCTATTTTGTACCTTACAGAAATGTCATGCTCAGTCAATTTTGAAATATTTTTATAAATTGACCTCAAAGGCACTTTCTCCTACTAATCTTGAAAGGCAAAATGTTAATTTAGTTCTGCAGATTTTTAATGAGTACACTATTCATGGATTATTGACCTTAGGAAAACAGAAAAGTTTGCCTAATTTTGCTGAAAACATTTTATGCTTAGCAGACAATACTGAATGTAAAAACACTATACAAAGGTTGTTGGCTTAGAAATAAATATTGTAATTCAGTTAGAGTAAATGAAAATTTTTTTTAGATTTCTCTAATCAGTGACTGGTTAGAATCTTGGAATAGTATTTCTGGAAGAAATGGCAAATTAACAAAGGAAACCTTCACTGCTTTGTGTTATACAACCTATGTATTTCTAGAACTGACCAAGTACTGCATAGAAGAATTCAAAATGCCATACATATTACCTGGCAAATTTCAAACTGATCACCTTGAGGCAAGGTTTGGTCAGTACTGGCAACTTAGTGGGGATCAGTGTAATATCTTGATATGGCAAGTGTTTGAGTGTGAAAAAAAATCAGAATGCTATCAGTTTTAAAATTGAGCTTTCCACTTAATCAACAATATATTAAAATTGATTTGAAGCATTTACAAGAACCAAACTGGGATGAAGTGACAGAGGAATAAAATTTAGATATGTATAAATTTAGAAATGATGTTAAAGAGGATGATGTCAATAAATACAGAGAAATTCTTCCTGTTATACTATACTTAGGTTATTGCTGTTATGCAGTTTTTAAGAAAATTAAATGCAATAGTTGCAAAAATTTAATATCTGGAAGAGATAATGTGGAAGAAATACTGGAAATAAACAGCTATTTTCAGGGGATTAATAGAGGTTCTCTTTTATATCTTAATGATACAACTACAAATTTTGTTCTATATAATTATATTGTCATTGGTACAATGATAAAAAATTATTCTTTTCTTTATTCAGTAAATCAAAGGAAATTAGCCATACACATAACATTGAATGCTTGGGTAGATTATGAGCTCCTTTTTAATATTGACACTTGTGATGAGGATCACAGTATAGAAAAAAAAAAAAAAAAAAAAAGAATGTCTATCTGGAGCTTTCTTAAATAATTTTTGTTCTAGGGGAAAAAAAAAAAAATTACTAGTAACAAGTTTTTTTTTTGTTTTTTTTTTAAGCAATTTTCCCCAACCAAGGCAGGAGTGTCACTAGCATGCAATGGGTTACAGAGAGTGAGAGTAAGAGTAAAAAGAGGAGTATTTAGGAAAAGGATAAAGAGAAGGACAGGAATCAAGGTCAAGGCATCAGAAGATGTCGATTGACAATACATTTGAATATTTGAAGATTATAGCTATCAAGGAAGCAAGTAAGACCAAGGTAGTTCTACTGACAGGAGGTGTGAGATAAGATGTTGGAGTAGAAGAGATGGCTACATTTAGTCATTTTGACAGTGATAAGTGGGACTGAGATGCCAATCTAGTAGCGTGCTTAAATTCATGCAATTTGGGAACCAGTGAAAGTAGCTCATCTGAGCAGTTGCTATGAAAGTACTTGTAGAAAAGGCAGAGGGAAGTCACAGCACGTCTGTGACATAGCAACTGCAGATGATATGCCAGATCAGGACCAACCATGTTGCATATCCATCTCTGGATCTTGTTGAGGACCTTGAGATGAACAGCAAGAGCACCAGACCATATATGATAGCAGTATTCCATGCAAGGACGAATGATTGATTTGTAGATTTGAAGGATGGACTCTGGCAAGAAGAACATTCTTGTACAACATAGAGAACCAACTTTCCTTGCGATAGATGAAGCTAAAGATTCAATATAGTTGTTCCACTTCAGGTCAGTGGCAAGTGTGAGACCAAGCAGGTACAGAGAGTTGGGCATCAGCCATCCTGATGGGAGACAGCAGGGAGGGTTCTCTTTTCTGGGTAACTGAGAGCAGTTTAATTTTAGAGGCATTAAAGTTTACAAGCCATTTCCTGCCCCAGTCAACCACAAATTGAAGGTCCTTCTCGAGGCTTATGGCCAGGTTAGTTTTGTCAACGATGCTGGATCTACTATTAAGGCAGGAGTAAATAGTGTTGCCAGCATAGATGTTGACTTGGGAGTTGATGACAGGAAGATTGTTGATGAATAGTAGAAACAATATAGGACCCAGTATAGAGCCTTGGGGAACACCACTGTTTGTGTGAAAGGAACTAGAGGAGAACCCATTTAGAATGACCTTCATTTCTTGGTTTGACAAGAATAATTTAATTAAGTCAAATAATCATCCTGTAATGCTGTATCCCTGAAGCTTATGAAGAAGGTCAGTGTGCCAGACCCTATCAAATGCTTTTTAGAGATATCTAAAGCTACGGCTCAAGCTTCTTTGTTATTGTCAAGTGCTTGGGATATAAATTCAGTTATGGTTGTGAGCACATCAGTGGTGGACTGGGCAAAGCGGAATCCATATTGATTGCCCGAGAGCAGATCATGAGATGTAACGTGCTTGACCACTTTGGTGTTGATTAAAGTCTCGAAGACTTTGCCAAAAAGTATTAAGAGACTTATAGGACAGTAGTTAGATGGGTCAGAAGGGTCATCAGAGTTCTTATATAGACAGGGACAATAGAAGAGGAATTCCAACAGGCTAGAAAGCAAGAGTCAGTGAGGCAATATTTATATAGTTTGGAGAGGACTGGTACCAGTTCAGGAGCACATTTCTTCAGAGACTAATTTGAAGACGATGTTCAAAATCATCAATGGTGTTATGCTTATGCCACTCAACAGAGCCTCAGTTCTAGGGAGAAAATCAGGTGTGGGTACTCTGGAGGAGTTGAGCGTTGAATTTGATGAGAATTTACGAGCAAAGCATTCAGCCTTATCAGCTGAGGAAGTCAGTACCTCAAATTCATTGAATAGAGGAGATATTGAGGATTTGCTGTTGTTCAGCACACTCTTGCAGAGCTGCCAATAATCTCTAGAACCAAACTCACGAGATGCAATATTTTGTTTCATTTTTCCAGCAAATAATAGCCTTGCTTCACTGAGGCACAGTGGATAAAGGGGTTAGTTAGATCCGGTGACAGGACCCAAAAGAGTGTGAGTTCAATACCTGGTTAAGGCAGTGGAGAACTTAGAGAGGGGAATTAACAGGAGATTACTGATAACTGACATCCATTAGACATGGCACATGGAACTAGAACAGTCTACCCCAGTGAGCAAAATAAAGGGTTCAGTTCGACATTCCAACCACCTGAAGAAGGCTGGAGTGTACAACGACCGAAACATTGTAATAAATATGGCAACAAAGAGGAGGACAATATTCGGAATAATATAAATAGTGTAAAATTAATTTTTTATTTTTAAATATTTATTGTTTGTAGCTAATTTATTTTTTTTATTTGTTTGTATTTCATTTATTTGTTTTATATATATGTGTGTGTGTGTGTGTGTGTGTTAAATTTCTCAGAATAATTCTGATAAGACAATTTGGATAAAAAGAAGACAATTGGAAAACATATTTCTTAGTTATTGCTAACGTGTTTAGTTAATCCAACTTTATAATGGCAAGGTTAAAAGCGAAATGTTTTTTTAGCTCCATTAAATTCAAATATAAAGGGAACGCTCCTGTGTAAAAAAGAAAAAATGTTACTAACATCCAGAAGGAGGCTTACACATTTAATGTAACTGAAAAACATTTTGCTTTTAAACTTGCCTTGATAAAGTCAGATTGATGAAACATGTTGGCAATGATTAAGAAATATATTTTCTAATTATCTTTATATTTATTTATATATCATTTACTTGTAATTTGTTTATTTTTTAATTGGTTGTTTGTTCCCTAATTCATTTGTTGCTGATTGTAACTTTACAGAATAATTATTACAATTAAAATGAAAACATGCAAGTTGAAACAATGCTGATTATAATAAAAAGAAAGAAATGTTTTAAAATTTGAAACAATTAAAATAATAAATTTCAGACTTTAAAAAATATGTAACATGATGTTTAGTTTATTTACTTAAATAAACATAAGTAAATAAAAATAGATAAACTTAAACAAAGCAAAAACACCAAATGATAAAAATTTCGTCACTTGCTGATGTAAAAAAAATAGAAAAATTTAACCAAAATTTCGTTAGTTTGTTTTATCTTGTTTTACAGCATATCAACCTCAATGGGCTATTTAATGCCGACAATTTTTATTGCAAAAATCTGTTTCTGGTAATATTTTTCTTTTAAAATTGTATTGCTGGTAATAATCTTTTACAAAAAAAAAAAAAAAAAAAAAAAATTGCTAGTAATAGTTAACTATTTGCCCATAGCTGGGACTCTAACAGGTGATAACACCCCAGGTCAGAGTAAGTAGACCTGGGAACACCAGCAATTAAGAGGTGGTTCCATGCTCCTCAAAACCTTCTGATCAGAGGCCTTGCTACTGGACTTGGTTTATCCTCTTACCCAGGATGTGGATGTAGTTTATAGTCATACCCAGGACAGTCGAACGTGTTAGAAAAGTTTAAAAATTCTCAAATAATTAAAAAATACTTTGGTCTTTCCTCTTAATAATAACAAACATTTTGACTATAAATCTTTGTTTTTATAAAGTTTGGTGCCTTTTTACCTCTTGCTATGCTATTTTTAGTGAAAAAATAGAGGTGCCTATGTTTAGCTTATTTATTTTAACGAAGCATTCAGCAACAACATTTTTTTTAAAAAAGAATATTAAGTAAAGTTAAGTATAATAAAATAAATATAATACAACCCTGTTTCTTTCTTTTTTATATGTAATTTTAAACAGTTTTCTCAAAATTTTCTGGTATACAATCATTCATTATCAACATTATTGCCTGTCTCGCTAGCCTCATGGATTATCTTTGTGACTTAATGTCACAATTAAGCAGGCCTTCTCTTTCAGTGGTCTCAGTCTGATCATCACAGACACACATTTTAAAATTAAAGATGTGTGTGTTGAAAAATTAAAGTAAGTGGTTATAGTCAATGTCAAATTAAAAAAAAAAAAAAAAAAAAAAATCACTTTTTATATCTATCCAAATACTTTAAAATGGTATATAATTTAATTTTGTAGGTGAAAAATCAACTGCGATATTGATATTTCAACTTAGTGATTATTTTCCAAAATTCACCTTTTTTGGCAATGGTCAAAAGGTCATATTTCGGGAACTTGTTGACAGAGATGTAAAATAGGTACCATTCAATTTGTATCTTGAAGCTCTATAAGTGTACCAAATTTGAAAAAATTTGTGTTAGTGATGGTCAGACCCTTGTTTTTTTTGACACAGAATGACTTATAATATTCCATCTGTATCATGTTTGATCTGGTGTTTCCTTGGTGAACTAGTCAAAAAGTGTTATAGTTTGACTGGCAAATTTTCACTCAGAAGATATTGTACTATCACATGACCATTAATTCTTATCTTTGTAGAATTGGTAAGAAAAAAAAAAGAAGTATTTTCTAGAGAGCTTCAAAAGGCATCTCAAGCTATTCTTTGCTGAAATTGATAAAAATAAGTTCTCAGGTGCTCGACTGATGAATGAATCTACATCAGGATGATAGAAGACAGAATATTTACCATTTTGTTCTATTAAGGTAGTATCTCGAAAAAAAAGTCTTATTTTAACATACTGAAATTTTTCCAATTACCCAAACATATTTTATATCTTGTTTTTGAAAGACAGATTTTCTTCTCCCTAACAAATTACTTACATAATGAATAGAATCTTCTATGTGCTGTCCTTTCAGCATATTGGTGATCATGGCTCTCTACAATTTCCTGTTCTTTGTAACTCTTAATAAATTGTCTTTTTGTTATTTTTCTTAAACCTTGTTCCACCATCCATTTAATCAAACTTGCCAGGTAGGTTATGCACTGTTTTCCTCTTGCCTTCAACCTGTCCTGTGAGTATCAAGTTTTCCAAGCCGTATTTCCTCAATATGTGCTCTAGAAAGTTCAACTGTCGCTTTCTGATGTTAAGTATGTGTCCTTTTTGTATCCATTTAACAATCAAATTATGAATAGAATACTTACCACAAAACTGACAAAGACATACTGGCTTGTGACATTAATGTTTAATTCTAATGGCTCTAAGTAAGGTTGATTGCTTATGGCTCGTACATTGCGGGGAAACAAGAAGAAAAGGATGAGAGATGCAATTACAGAACACACAAGTACCGACAGCATCACCCACTGAGCCCTGAAAGAAGAAAAAAAAAAATACATTTAGTGTCAAAGAATATAAACAATTTTCTTTATTTACATATTTGGACTGTTTACCTCATCTTTATAGTCATATTCACATTTCAGCCATTGTACACTCTAGCTTTCTTCAGGCTATATATGTTCAAATTTTATTGTTCTAGTTCCACGTGCCATGCCTTTTCTGGATATCTCACTTTGTTATTTCTCTTTAGTAACTCAACTCTCCAAGGACACATGGTCTAATGGATTGAAGTAATCTAGTGATTTGACCGAAAGAGTTAAGAGTTCAATACCTGGCTACAGCAGAGGTAAACAAAACTTGCAGTGTACAACAACCAAAATGCTGTGAATATGACAGAGGACAACAGTTCAAACAATGTAAATAGTTACAATACTTCATCTCAGAAATATAAAACTTTCTTTATCTATTAATCATCAGATTATATTTCCCTTTTTGAAATTCATACCTTGTGTTCAATTTCGACTTTCAAACACTTATTTATATTGACTTTCCAGCTATCATATTTAATAGCTGGGGAAACCTCATTGGTTTATTCTCACATTATATGTCAGCATAAAATTTAGTATTGAAGGTGTCTGGACTTGTTCAGCTAATGATTTTTATCTGATGTGCATCTTATTCAGACACACAACATCTTTACTTTGATCAACTTTCACTACTTATAAAATGTCTACTCATTTAATATTTTGCATAATCTCATTTATGATTTTGTATAATTAGAAAATTCTTATTCACTATATATATATATATATATATATATATATATATATATATATATATATATATATATATAAACAACTAAAAAGTTGCAAATTAAAAAATGTTTTTTTATAAAAGTATTTATTTATATTTTTTATATGTAGTTTTGATATTTCAGATCGACCTCGATCTTTCTTCAGAAATAACTGTTTTTAGAGGTTTGTTTACAAGTAGCACTACTTAATATGAATAAATACTTTCATAAAAACATTTTTTAATTTGCAACTTTTTAGTTGTTTTTTTCTATATATACATATTAAGATAGTATATGTGGCTTCTCATTATGCTATATATATATATATATCTTGCACACACACACACACACATATATATATATATATATGTCATCCACAGACAAACTGTTTCGCTGTTTCACAGCTCTTCAGTGTGGCTAGACATCCGGTTGCCTCTAGCTAGGATTGAAACCTGACTGAATTGGTGTCAGTCGGAGATTCTACCACTAAGCCATCGGCACATGGCAGGGATGAAGGTGAATTTTAGTGTATTTATTTTTAGATAAACACACACAGCGACTGACAGTGACTAAATTCGTTTTTGCCGAAGAGTCTCGCTATATCAGCTATAATAGTCACTGTTTACAAACCCATATATATATATATGTATATATATATATATATATATATATATATATATGTGTGTGTGTGTGTGTGTGTGTGTGTGTGTACTCCCAAAATTCACTAAAAAAATGAGCATATGTAATGAAAAATCCTCTAAACTTAAAAACAAATTTTTATCAAAATTTTTTTAAATTCCTTGTTAATATGTACTGGTTAAAACTATATTTACTAATCATAAATGGAAAAGCTTACTATAATTCAGTGATCCCCCCACCAACCAATATCTTAAAAAGAATTGGAATTTTTTTGTTTGTGTATTAATGTGCTAACTTTTGTAAATATCGACGTCCATACATAATATTATTAGAAAATAAGATTGATAAGTATAATAAATTTAAAGCCAAATACCTAAAACTCAATAAAAACAGATTACTTAGAATATTTTCCTAAATTATTAAGATTACTGGGTAGTTAAAAATTACATAAAGAATTGCACTCACATTATATTCCTCAAGTAATTTTTACAGATATGCCCTCCATAGAAAAACAAACTTCTGGCTGTCAACAAAACTGTCAACACCTTAAATAAGCACTTACTCCTTGTTAAAAGAAAAAAAAATGCATTTCTACAATATTTTAAACTAAAAGTAAGTAATATTTGTTTGACAGATAGCTTAAGATGTGCTTTTTAGCAATTTCCCCCTCTCCCCACAATTTTGCTACAGTTGAATGTTTTTACAATTGATTAAGAGCCAAGTCAAATTAAAAATGTACTAAGGCTTGTAAACAATATACTATAATGTTCTACATTTGACTGATTGTACCATCAATTGAGAGCTGAGTGAACTTGAAAGACATTTCAAGGCTTTTAACAACTCCTAGTCAACTTAAATTAGTTTTGAAATACAGCAAAGTATTTTGCTTATTGGAATATTAAATTTAATCTATCAGCTTGAAGTTAAAACTAAAATAAAAGCTTCAAGAAAAATGTTTCATTTTTGAAAAAATCTATTTTAAACTTTGGGTATCACGTTTCTTTGGAGATTTTATATATATATATATATATATATATATATATATATATATATAACTGAATGGGTAAATATAGGTAGGTATATGAGTGAACGATCATATACAAATACATATTAATACTCTTTAGTGTAGGAAAAAAAAAAAATCAGTGCTCAATGTTAAATAACAGAGTTATTTAATATATACATATTAAGAAATATACATAATACTTTACATTAATTGCACAACTCTGAGTTTCATGCCAAAGCTATTGTCAAGTGCTGGAATTATTTTTATTTTTGGTTGACACAAGTTTTTTTTCTGGTTCGCATGAGATATTTTATTGTTGGAGTGGAATATTATTGTTAAAATATTTAAATGAATTTTAGTTTAATTTTGAATTTAGGCCCAGATTAACATTTAAGATTGAAAATAAAGTTGGAAATAAATATAAATTCTAATTTAGACAGACGCAGGTGTACCAGAAATTTAAAAGGAAAAAATGGTGTCAACCCAAAATAAAAATAATTCCAGCATTTGACAATTACTTTGACATGAAACTCAGAGTTGTGCAATATTTCTTAATTTGTGTGTATATATATATATATATATATATATATATATATATATATATATATATATATAGGCATTTTTAAGAACTATAGAAAATCTGTCTTTATCCATAACAAAGGACAATGTATAAAGAATAATTTAATTGACCAATTTGATATTCCAATACGATTGTTAGACTTGGTTTAGTCTTCTAACCTTGTTGGTTTGTTCATTTTATATAACCTTAGTGCCCACCATGACATCAACATAGAAGACATAAGTTTATATAGAGATGACGGCCTTATGGTGGTGAAAAATTCTACAATATTTAAAATTGACAAAATCAGAAAATTAATACATAGGGAACTTAAAAGTCTAAACCTTAAAATTACAATCAACATAAATTTAAAAAAAAAAAAGATTTCTTTGATATAACACTAGACTTAGTCAATAATACAAACCAACCCTACATGAAAAACCAATGCAAATCCATTATATATTCAACCAAATTCAAATCACCCTTCATCCATAATCAAACACATACCCTCCTCCATAGAATAGAGAATCAGTAATAACTCTTCCAGTGAAGAATTATTATAAACATAACAAATTTTACAACACTGCCATAAAAAATAGTGGCTATAAGTGCCCCAACATCAAATATAGGAAACATAATGGTGTTAGGAGGAAAAAATAGAAACAGATAAATCATTTGGTATACACCCCCATTTAACCAACTGAGTTAGGACAGAAGTTTCTCAATTTAATTGAGAAACACTTCCCCAGAAATAATCCTCTTAGTAAGATTTTTAATAAAAATACACTTAAATTAAGCTATAGCTGTACAGATAATCTTGAAAAAAATTATTAAAAAACACAATAATAAAATTTTAAATCAATATTTAAACCTAAGTAACAATAACCATTCCAAAGCAACAAACAATAATGATACTATCTTCTGTATTTGTAGAAATCCTAATGACTGTCCATTACAAGATAGGTAAACAAGGGAATCTGATAGACACCTAAGTACTATTTCATCTAGAGAAAACCAAACAGTCAAAAAATTTTATATTGGTAGTACCAAAAATTCCTTTAAAACTCAGTGGTATCAACACATATCATCTTTCAACAACAATGTGTATTATAACAGAAGGTCCCTTTCTGAATATTTTTGGCACTTAAAAGAAGTTAACAAAACTCCTACGGTAAAATGGAAAATATTAAAATTAACTAGTACTTGTAAATCCTTACATGATCCATGTTTCCTATGTTTACAAGAAAAATAAAGTTTCCTAACAATAAAAATCTGTTAAACCAAAGAAATGAATTAATGGTGTTATGCTGCCATTGTCTACCTTTTACCTTAAAATATAGTTAAAATTTTTTTTTTTTAAATTTCAATTGTATAGCCATTATTTTATTAGTATATAATGGTCCACTCAACATTTATTTGAATTATTCAACTTTAATATTGCCATGTTTTACTGTTTATTCAGTATAATTAACAGTCTATATAGATGTTTCCACATTTTTAATTTTACCTATTGGCCTCTTTAAGAAGTTTCCTGAGTATATTAAAAAAAATTTTTTTAAAATTCATTTCTGATAAATTTATGTCTACTTCAACAAATCATACTTGGCTACACCAATAATACATTTGTCGCTGCAATATTCCCTAGTATCATTGGATGACATGTCTAAGCATCAGTTTTCTAGACATATAAAAATAACCCATTCACCTCAACCCTCTGACCGTATTTTTATATTTTAACATAGACCTAACATTTAATTGGTTAATGTAGACATACCCATAAGTATATTTTTTAACTCTGACCTTATGCCCCCCACCCTTAACTTACAAAAAGAAGTAAAGATTTGTTTTTAAATTTCCCTAATAAATCATTTTTATCATTGACCATTGCCTGAAGAAGTACAATTTTAATACTGAAAAATGAAAGTTTTTGTGTAGCAATGGAAAATGTTTTTATTGTAATTTATTTTTTTCCACTCAGCTATGGGTAAATAGCAGAACAGACTGGTTCCTATAGACTTGGCTGGCAATTATTCTGA